ATTTTGCTCTCCAAATCTGGGTTGATTTATTCAATAATTACTTTATATGTAATAGAAAAAACTGGTTCAAAACTTTTNGACTCAGTTTCACTTCTTCTACCTGTTTACAAAAGATTTTAAAGTAATTATCGGACATTCTGTATAAACATGAAAAGTATCTTTTCTACAACTGTGTTTTAAAAGTTATATCCAGTAGATCAGTCTTGTTCTTCTTTGGCATAATTGTTCACAGTACTTTAAAATCAACTTGTTTAAGATTNTATTTCATCCTATAAAAATGTGATTGTATGTATACACTTTTATTCTTTGGTACTATAATAAAAGATATAAAATACACATTTTTATTTACCCTTCAAAAGCCTTTATTATCTCGGCGAATTTGGACTTATTACAGACGATGGCAGTTTTGACGCTTTTCGGATCAAACAACGATTTAACATACGAAGCTGCCACGCGGCTCATATCGTCCATAGTAACGGCAGAAATACGTCGCACCATAAGAGAATTATAATCAGGCGGCAAGTTTCTGCAGTAGCGCTCGAATGATATGTATATTATGTCGGTTATGGATTTTCCTTCATTTACACATTTTAAGATAGCTAACGATTTAGCTGAGTTGTAAAGATGTTGGTCCCATTTGGCTTCCGTAATATGCGTCTCCTAAAACAAAAGTTTCAACATTACAGAGACGATCTAAACTCGCGCTGTTTTTNACAAATTATATATACATTCTGACAATTCAGTTATAATTTCAAAAACAAAACAAACTAAAGTCATACCACTATCGACTTCGTCTTCTTGTACGCAGCTACTATGTTTGTAGCTGTAAAAAGCTGTAAATTTAAGAGTCCTGTGCTCGGATTCAAAAAAATATTAAAATCACAAGAACATTCTTTTGTTTTCATTACTTTCCATAAAGGTCCCTGAAAAAAAACCATGCATGCGTGAAACATATGGCAAACATTACGCAGTTTTTATCAAACAATCAATTTTTTTTATCACCAATCATTACGTGCTTACTTCCATTTGTGAGAAATACTGTAAACAGACAATTAAAGCTGCCAAATCAGGATCGTGAAAATCATTTATACACGGACAAACTTGAATGAAGGACGAAGATTGTACATTTTCTGTTGGATGAATATAACCGTTTTCAGTTATTTCATTAAAAAAGGGTCAAGTAATTCCCAGTCAGCGGTGACAGTAGACCTAAAACATGTATAGTTTATTGCATACATTTACGTACTTCTAATTCTTATATTCGCAGCTGGCAAAAAAAGATCAAAAATTGATATACGTAAAGTTTTAAACATATGATATTATTAGTACACCAATGTAAAAGTCAGACCAATCGTGTAATTTTTTNTATGTTGTAGCAACTTATTAGCATCTTAATTTTAAGTATTTTTTTTATTATACATTATTAAAACCAGTTTTCTATATAATAGTGTTACTTTAAATCTATGTGTATTATACTATTACTTCTGCATCTCATCTCGTGAGTTTCTATCTGTCTGCGTTGATTACGTTTATGGTATATAAAATTAAATGCACAAACAAGAAGCTTAGATCTCATGATTGATATTTAAAGTTACATACTTTTTTTTAAATATTTCAAAGGTTCACTTACACTTATCTTGTTTTTTTTGATGTCATAAACTCTGGAAAAAATTTATTCCACGGAGCGTAGACATCAGGAACGTGTTTGGTTAATTTATCGACATTGACGGCCATGTATGCAAACATATTCTGTGGTGAAGTCATCGTTTTTCGAACAGATTCGAGTTCCTCTAACATTTTCTTTTCTCCTGCAGTATTTAGATGATCTCTGAGAGAACTCAACAAAGTATACAGCTGGTATATGTTGGATGTAAACGGACAATTGTCTGCCAAAGAATTTTCGCTATTATCATCATATTATATTTAACATATTCCATTATATTATCGTTACATTATAATTGTAATGTAATTAGTAAATAAAATCTCCGCAGATTTACCTATTTTATACAACAATATTATCATTAAAGCTTTAAGAAGACAATTATCTTCTCCCGTTGTTTGCTTAAGACTGTTTGTTGCTTGTGTCATTAATATTGTCAATTTGTCGGCCGTTAGTTCAGTGTCATATACAAACTGTTTATACAATTGTACACCTTTTTCATAGTTGTGTACTTCCATCTAAACAAAAAAAAACTGGTTAAAATGTACTTTAAAGTTTCAAGTTATTAAAATATACTTTTTTCTAGAAGAATGTAGTTTTTTACTATATATAATGCATTACTTGAAACATTAAAGATATACTGTGCGGATTAATAAGACCAATTTGAGTATTAAAGTTTCTAACATCAGTTCTTTTCTTCATAGATTCTTTGACGACTTCCAGCAATAACGGAATATACTTTCTATATTCGTTACTAATAGAGAAAGTGTCTACTAAAACATATAACTGAATTACAAATAACTGTGAGTATTTAATACTATATTATACTATACTTACATTTAAACAAATATTGCATTTTGACTATTGAAAGAAAAAATATGAAGACAAATATATACATTTTAACTAAATAGAACTTTATACAATAATATGCGGTACACAAACCGATACTTACATAAATAAAATTTGTATTAATGTCATTTAAATAAGTAAAAAATGGCAGCTTTTTAAAATTTAGTTTAGGATGTTGTTTGAACGTTTCCGTGGTATATCTCTTAATTTGATAAAAAGTGATAAAATCTATACCAGGTATAGGCACACTCGTCAGTATTTCGGTAGGTATAGATTCCTTAAAAAATTGTGAAAGAACAAAATAGAAAGAAATGCTGACAATATTAAGGGATGTATGTATGTATAACCTAACCTAATAATATTTTATTGACGTACGCAGAAAAAAATATATGTATTATTTGTATAAAAAATAGTATGTATAATCTACTATATCTTAATGATATACATATAATCTAATCTTATCAAATTCAAATATATACTTTAATTTCTTTAATAGATTGCTCAAGTTACCTTTATCTGTTTTTTGCTTTTAACTTTTTCATCTTACCTTCGCGATGTGTTCATCTATTCTATTCTTTCTTTTTTTTGCAACTTAAAATACTCATCTAAACTTGGTCTGCCCTTCACAACAACCATCTTAACCTGAAATCATAATCTATTATATTATGTGTATATGTAATTAAATTTTATACTGTATATACTTTTTACTTATATTTGTTTTTCGGTGGTATGTTATTATTAATATACTTATAATACGTACAACATCGGGAACTACAACGACTCTTTGCGAGTTCACTTCAGCAGCTGTGAAACTTCTCGCCAGATACGATGTGTTGGTGTCAATTATCTGGTCACGTAAAATCTCATCCCCCATGATTATATTGACAGTTAGCAAATCACCAGTGCTTTATTTCACATTTTAACGCAGTCACTATGATTTTTTGTTAAATGATAAAACGAACGTTTGTCATTCCACTTCTCTGTCGCTTCTCATGGTTTCTGTCTCTTTATAAGAACAGAAATAAAAAATAACCTCATCTTAACCTGAAATTATAATCTATTATATTATGTGTATATGTATAATTAAATTTTATACTTTATATACTTTTTACTTATATTTGTTTTTTCGGTGGTATGTTATTATTAATATACTTACGCGTGTCATCTGCGAGGAATAATCTAGCTTTTGATTCTGCATGTCACCTCACTTTTGACAATTATACGACGAACTGTCAAAATCGCTTCTCCGTCACTATTCGTTTTCGCGATTTTTCCGATTTACTTTCTCACTTTTCAAATACTTATATTTTTTTCTTTTTACTATTACGTGTTCTCTAACCGCTAAATTTTTCCATNTGTATACGACGAACTGTCAAAATCTCTTCTCTCGCGTTATTATATTATATATCATCATTACATATACTATATTAATCTCGATCGACCAACCAACCGACCAATGGGCAACGCGGAAAAGAGGCAACAATGGCACATGCCTTTTTTAATATAGGATGGATCGTCTTAAGATCCGACTATGAATACCTGCCTAAGTGTAAACACAGGGTGTCTGAAAAATTTTGACACAGCCGAAGTGTGAAGATAGATTAATCTGAAACCGAAAAATCACGTACCATTTTACAAAAAATTTGCAATAGTTATTAAGTGATTAATTAATACAATGGTGATCTAATGAGTGCGTGGGAAGCAATGATTCGAACTCTGTAATCGTGTCTGATTTTCAGTTGTAAACATCAGTTGATCGCAAGAAGTTGTGTCACACGCCACTCGCTCAAACTTTTTCAGACACCCTGTATAAATAAAGTTACTTATATATACATAATTTTATATTAAAACAAATTACATAATTATTATATAATTGTATAATTCTATTATTTATACAATTAGTATATGATTGTATAATTTGTTTTGTAGTTTATATTTGGCTGGTTGTGCGATTACATATATGAGGAAACAAACCAAACAAACGCCATATTCATTGTGTCAAAAAGACGAGCGTTTCATTGGTTGCTACTGCGCGTCTCCGAGAAATGAAAACCTATCTTCTATACTTATATCCATCCATACCATGATCCTTATCCGCCGATTCGTTCAGCGCACCCGTTGCTCGCCTTGAATTCGTCGTGTTGGTGACATAGCGAGGAAAAATGGAGCGAAATGGAAATTTGTTAGAACGCATGTCTTTTTCTCTCCTCAAGAATCGTTATTTGATGTGAAAGAGCTATTTCGGTGACAATCGGTCTGATTTTTTTAATCACGATAACAGTCGCGTGACGTGTTGCGCACGTTTAACGCGAACGTTCTCAGGGTGTTTCTCCGTTGGTTACACGCCTTCTTCGTTGCCTCTGATCGCATCTACGAGATCGATACACGCTCTTATCGGCCACGCGACGTCGTGGTTATTCGCTTGTCCCGGCTTCGCCAGGTTATCTCGTCGAAGTTTCGTTATGTCGGGCGAGCACACGACAGTGAGCAAGTGTCCCTCCGAATATGTTAAACTCAACGTCGGTGGTTCACTCCACTACACCACCATAGGCACCTTGCAGAAGCAGGATACTATGCTCCGCGCTATGTTTAGCGGCCGCATGGAGGTTCTTACTGACTCAGAAGGTGAGATACTTCGTATGTGTTTTTGTGTACATACTGCAATCTCTTGGTCAAACGCGTAAGATCGCACAACACGCAATGTTGATCGGTCTTAAAATTGCTGATTATCTATTCCCTATCTTGTAAGAAACATATATAAAAGCGTAAGAATTTATTTATTCGAACATTTATTTGTGAAAGCAGACTATTTTATGTTAATTTTCAAGATTCGCTAAATACGATCAGAGTTTGCTTTATTTGTCTTTTGTAACTTGTTGCTTTTTTTTTTACCAATTGTAGGCTGGATATTGATCGATCGCTGTGGCAAGCATTTTGGGACAATCTTGAATTTTTTGAGGGACGGTTCGGTTCCGTTGCCGGATAATACGAGAGACATGGCGGAACTGCTGGCGGAGGCAAAGTATTATTGCATCAGCGAGCTGGTAGAGTCCTGTGAACATGCGCTTCTTTACAAAGATCGGGAATCAGAACCGATCTGCAGAGTCCCTCTTATCGCCTCTCAAAAGGAAGAACAGTTACTCATAAACAGCACTAATAAACCTGTGGTCAAACTGCTCATTAATAGGCATAATAATAAATATTCTTACACAAGGTAATAATATTAAATACTACTATTGTGAAATATTGCCGTTTTTTTTTTTTTCGAAAATAAATAAACTTCTCAATCTTTGCAGTACATCAGACGATAATCTACTTAAAAATATAGAATTATTTGACAAGATGTCGCTTAGATTCAGCGGTAGAGTGTTATTCATTAAAGATGTTATTGGCTCAACCGAGATTTGTTGTTGGACGTTTTACGGACACGGTCGTAAGGTGGCTGAAGTCTGCTGCCATTCAATCGTCTATACAACCGATAAGAAACACACAAAGGTAATATTGATGATGTGGTAATATGGATCTCATTGACATTTTCTCAGAATTATTTGATAAACAATACTTCTCTTTTCAGGTCGAATTTCCTGAAGCGCGAATATACGAGGAAACATTAAACATTTTGTTGTACGAACATAGAAATTGTCCGGATCAGGACTTGATGCAAGCGACGTCTTTGCGCGGTGCGGCATGCGCGTCCGACGAAGAAGAGGGCGAGCGTTCGGGGTTAGCTCGCCTTCGCTCCAACAAACAAAACCTCAACTGACACAATGTCGTTCTCAATCCACCACATGCCGCGTTCCTCAGCGTTGTGCGCTCTTTCAAGAAACCAAATTAAATGAAACAAACCGCGAAGTATCAAGGACAATAGTCGTATGAGTGTGATTCTAGACTGTCTCTATCTCTGTGCCGAATCTCTCGTTTTTTCTCATTCTGTCGGAAGACGGGGGGGGGGGGAGGGGAGGAAAAAACCAGTTGGATTTAACTTCGGTCGTACGATAGGTCATCTCGATACATCACACATCGCACAAGATTACACNCGGTCGTACGATAGGTCATCTCGATACATCACACATCGCACAAGATTACACGCTCTGTTTAATATAAAAAGATACGTGTGTCACTTTCCTGATTTATATAAAACGGAATGACAAATTTGTGTGTCTTTAAGGTTCTTTCCTTTTATTGTTCTTGCTATACAAGCGCGTGTTTGTAAATATATATTAATGTACGATTAAGAATGGCACTTTATCGATTTTGTCTTGTGAATCGAAAAGAATGTGTGTAGCGTCTTGCGCGCCTTACTATTTATGTGCCAAATTTGTATTAAATCCACGACAGAGAAATAAGTCCAAGTTGCCATTCTGTGACTGATAAAAAAAAAAAAAAAATTATTTATAAATTTATACTCTACAAAAGAAAACAACACTTTTAAGCAGTCGTATATAGATTAATTAAATTGTTATAAAAAGATTTTTGCGCTAAACTAGGACTGCGTTGTTACCTGTTATAAGTATTATTATCACGATATATTGTATTATTTTATTATTATATCATCAATCATCTTTATTATCATTATCACTGTCGTTATTTCTGGACACGGCAGATATCGTATGATGCAGGTACATGTGAAGATCTTTTTAATATATATATATATAAATATAAATATAAATATATAAATTACCACTTATTATTCCTACAGACATCATGATAAATTCATCATGTTTATTATATACTTTTTCTTAAAAATTTCCATAATTTAATATATATCAATAAAACTCTCAAAACACGTATAATTTGCATATATCTTTCAACAACATTAAGATTTTGTTGAATTGTGGAAAGAATAAGCTGGAGTAAACATTACTGCCAGCAAAGTAAACAAATGTAACATCAGTTAGAAAAAGGTTTTTTTTAATGCGCAAATTTTTGCTTCGATCAAAGGGAAGGAGATTACACGAATTGAATTTTAAAATGTACATTTTGAGTTTAATTATTAATCACTACACCTGACAAAATTGGTCGAAAACAATTTGTCGTCAAAAACAGCAGCGATTTATCGCCGCGAAATTGTTTGACAAGATATTTTATAAAATGTTTTTCTTTCCCGTCTCGTAATATGATGCACATTTATGTGTAATTATTTTTTTTATGTCATTATATATGCAACAATAAAAGATTGATTTTTGTTTCACTAATTTATACTTTCACTTACGCAACAGAATTGTGGCAATCAGAACTGCGGTGTACCGAAGTTCGTGCGAGTGTCTATTGTTACAATATAACTGTTACAATAACGGTAAAAAAAAAAGAGAAACATCAATTTTTTTTATTTTATAAGAGAAGTAATCAAGATAAATCTGCTCAATTTTCTCGAAAGAAACATATGTTAGATAAATAAAAAAAAAGTAAACTATATGGAAACATACATGGATTATATGCATTTTTATGTGTGTAATTTTCAATACATGATCCGTAATTCTACACAGGTTTAAGAATCCATGTGTTATTGTTATAAGACATAGTACATATACAATATTGTAATATATTTTCATGTCTGTAAAACATGTAAGTTGTATTATATACAAGGTGTCTAAAACTTTTTGACACAGCCGACGTATGAAAATATATTGGGTCAATCTGAACGGAAAAGTCATGTACAGTTTTGCTCAATTTTAATAGTTATTAAGATATTAAGTTAATTAACATGTGAGCCAATGAGAACGCGCGTGAGTAGCGACGGACTCGATTCTGTAGGCGTATATAAAACTATGTAATTTTCAGAAAATCAATAAATGAATATCAGCTGATAGCGAGAAGCTGTCGCTCGCTGTGTGTTATTCCGTTGTTAGAAAATTGTACAAATTTAAGCAATATCACATGGTTTTATACACGCCCCATAGAATTCAGCCTTCCCACGTGCTTGTTAATGGCTCATATTAATATTTTAATAACCACTGGGAATTTTGCAAAGTTGTTAAACTGTTTTCGTTAGGATTGATCTAATCTATTTTCACACTTTGATTGTGTCAAAAAGTTTTGGACACTCCGTACGTGTATAATATTATTGAATCGAATATATATTTACGTTGCACAAAATATACCCTATGAAGTTTCTTGTGTTTACGATTTTAAATAAGCGCAATAGAAATTTATAGATTATTCAAAAAAAAAAAAAAACTTAAATTTATACATACGCTTTTGGCATTTTCGAGATATATATACAGTATATTAATTTTTTTCTCAGAATTTATCTAAAATAGCAAAAAGTGGAGCGCATTCGAAGAAAATTATAAAATAAAATAATGCAAATTCTCTCTCTCTCTCTTTAAAAACGTAATATAAATCTGGTTCTACCATTTACACAGAAGATTATATGCATATTATTAAAATCTCCGCTTAGACGCAAAATCAAGTGCAAAAACTTTCTGCGAGAGTTTTTCGGGTTTTTATTAATTTTGAAACATTAAATTTTCTTAATAAAAAGAAAAAACTGGAAATAAAAACAAAAAAGAAAATAGAGGCAAACGTTGAGATTGATTCCAGCGACATGTATTATGAAATAAGATATTATTATACATAAATGTATGTGAATACATACATAAATACGTACATACATATATATATATACGTATATATATACACACATATATATATGTACGACAGTTTGCAGCTAAAGACAGTATTCGCAAACGTTTCTTCTTAAGACGGAATCAAATGTGCATACACATGTTGTCGGAGGTTGTTAAACCCCTGAATTAGAAAAGGCACATCAGTTGTTTCTTCTGAATGATACTAGATACCGTTTTGTCTAGTATCGACACGCTACTACTGATCACCTTATAAACGGTGTGTTTACGTAAGTGTATCGTGATTGCTTTTTTTTTTTTTTTTTTTTTTTTTTTTTTTTTTTTTTTTTAACTATACACAATGGTTTTTGTTTTCGATGAAATTACTGTCTACTAACAGCCACGATTACACATGAGCATCGACAGAAGAATATATATATTGACGGAAAACGTTACAAATATATCGCAAAGATGTCAATAGATCGATTGACTTACATTTATTTAATTTCTACACTTTTTTTTTTTTTTTTTTTTTCCATAAAATTTTTGCATAGTCTTACACAAACCTCTCTATAATTAAAATCCGAAGTTCTCGCATCTCGCGAAGACGGAGATTCTTACATAAAAGACTTTTAACTATAAACAAAACGATTATTAATTTTACAGTAGATCTTTATGTTCGAAGTATTATCTATTTATGATTATAACATATGTTATTACACGTACTGTGCAAGTTCCGCATATTTAATTTTGAAAACGTGTCGCGATTAGAGTGTGGAATTTTAAATTTCCGTTTGTCGGAAATATCAAAGTATCTTGCGCGCGTGTCTCGTAATACTACAAATATTCATAAGGTACGCCGAGAATGTCAGAAAGAATTCTGTGACTATAATGACATTCATACGAGCGTTTTGGACTTTCCAGAACGTTTTGTGATCTCGTGACGCAAGTCAAGTTTTTGTGTGTGCGTAATATTATCAAATTTTTACCGGAACCTCATAACTTTGTCACGCGTTTGTTTAATGCAATTGCAATTCTTTTTTCCGCAATACAAATTACCTTTATCGTTTCTTCAAAGCTACGATGTGTGTTTTATACACACAGAGCCGTATAAATTTACAAAAAAAAAAAAAAGAAGAAAAAAAAAAAACAGTTTGTGACATTTCACACAAATCCTCGTGTTCATATTGTTCCAAAATACGAGTACTTAACGCGAGTACACTTCTGTTGTTTGTATCCCTTTATACGTCATCTTTAATATAAGATCACAAATTGGTAACGCGTTACACGCAATTGTCTTAATTACATAATACAGTTTAAACATCTTAAGGCTACTCGCACACCCATCCGTTCGACCACTATGTACCCAGGGATTCAAAAATAAATTCTATTTCGTAAAAATAAGAGAGATAATGTATTGACTTACAAATATAAATCTTATAATCTACATTTATAAATATATACATTTTTATATATATATATATATATATATATCTATATATATTATATTGTTTTAAACCTACAAACTCAAGGAATATACTTTTGTAAGTGCATCTGGAGCAAATGGGATTATATGCGGGACGAAGAATAAATGGAATCCAATGAGAGATACTAAAGTCAAAAAAAAAAAAAAAAAAAAAAAAAAAAAAAAAAAAAAAAAAAAAAANAAAACAAAACAACACGTGTAATACAATAAGGATCAAAAAGGAAAATTATTAAACTTTTTTTTATTATAGTTCAAAATAAATGACACAATGAAACACAAACACATATTTATTTATTTTTATAAGTTTAACGTCAATAATCAATTAATTAGTCTTCAACATAAAAGAATTGTTTACATGTATTAAAATAAAATTTATTATATTTTGAATTTTGTGTTCTTACAATAGTTTTGAGAAAATTGTCATTATCATAATATGAAAATATGATATGTTTGTCGAGCAGAGAAAAAGAGTAAAAATTATTAAATGGAAAAAAATGTGAAATAAGAAATATAATAATGAAAAAAAAGAAAAAAAAAAAAAGAAAAAGTTATTTATCCAAATTAATATCTAACTTTATTTTCGTACATATTCAAGTGTATGAAAATTATTTCATTGTTCACTTATCAGCACCCATTACGTCATTTACCTAATTTAAAAAGAATTATATGAGAAATTATACGAAGAACAATTAAAGTCCTATTAATATGTCCAAATTGTGTGAACTCATTATAACGGAATGCTTGTCACTACAATGAAAACTGCTATGATAAAACAATCAGTGATAAAAGAATGAGACAGAAAAATAACGAAAGGAATGATGCATGAGCAATCTATCCTTTTTCTCGCGACTTATTCTCATTGAAGCGAGCATTCCAAGTACAGTTTAATGATCAAATTCTACAAAATCCTATAGAAACAATTGTACACTTTAAATTGAGCGTACACACCTATCACTTATTATGTCTGTGAATATACTTATTAAAAAAATGGATGAACTATTTTGAATTCTATTAAATGAATTTTTTTTTTGAATCGGTATATTTATTTTTTATACATAATATAATTAAAATGTTAGACCGTACGATGAATTATTTTTCAATGAAAACTTAAAAAATAAAACTGCGTTCAGATTAGACGCAACATTATTGACAATAACAACATAGGGGTAAACAGTATAGTTGTTGGCCTCCCAACAGTAATTGGCCATGTAGTAAAGTAGTAATAAATATAAAAAAAATACTATCATTATATTCTAAATTATAAACATTTTAATATTAATTAAGTTTTTCTGCTCCGAATAAAAGTAATATTATAGTATTTAAGAAGCTCAAAAACTTATTGTTATACGATAATCATTGACCAACTGGCCAATCACTGTTTTTAAGGTTATGAAAACCATATGACAGTCATTGGCCTCTTATTTTGAGTTATAAATACAAATGTAAGTAGGTTTGTTAGTTTTTAATGTGTTATAAATAAAATATTCATTCCTATATTTTCATAAGTCAAAATAAAAACTTTATTATGATAANTGTTATGTAAACAGATACTAACAGAACTCATATGGCCAATAACTGTCTATTTTGACTATAGGAAATATTTTATCAAATTTTGAACAATTTTTCAAATTTTCTAATAAATTTATTAGTTTATTTGCGATTGTTATAGTTTGTTTGAGCTAGTAGTACTGAAGATTTACTTCAAGTTATTAAATTTAATTTTATAATTTACTCTATATAGCGCAGTTTTCCTTAAGTGGCCAATCACTGTATCTCTTACCCCTATTGCTTTGTTACTGATGTGGCTATAATAAAATATACAAGACGTTTCTAATGTTGTCAATGTTGTTGTGCCAAACCCAAGAATTCTTTCTCACAGATTGTGTTTCACTGTACGTATGTATGCACATGCTGTTAAATAGAAATGCACAAGATGCAAACTTAAAAAAGAGAAGCAAATATTCGATGCGTACTATATCGAGAAATATAAACGTTCTTTCGGAAAATAATATTATTATAAGTGTGTGTGTGTGTATTTTGTATGTGTATATGCGTGTGTGTATATATATATATATTCCCACGTGCTCCACTCGACCAGTCAGCAGCGACCAACACAATTAACACACCCTACACACTATTTCGCTCTTCGTTACTGCAAAAATGCTAGAATTTTACGCAGTAATACAAAGAATTTCTTACGTAATTTCACATAAAACTCACATTCATTCGTCCGCTTCCGGAGATCAGTTCACGACGTGGTGCGCCACTTACTTCACATAGCTGCCTCGGTCTTAGTGCGTTTGCAGGGGCTTATTACGTTTTCACCCGTTACGCATTCTTTATTCTCTTCGGCGATTGGGGAGGGCGATCGCTTCTTTGCAACGCATACCTCGGCAACGGCGTTGTTCTTGACAATTTCATTTTTCGGTAAGTTGAACTTGACTATAACGGCGGTCATGTTGTCGCAACCCGTTCCGTCGCCAAGAGTGTCCGGCGCGAGACAATGATCAAACAGCTGCAACATACAATCGCGATTCTTAATTAATAGCAATTTAAATAGCAAGAGAATACATTCTCTCATACATGTTTTAAATATATTCTTTAAGCATATAAAACATTTTATACATGTACGTGTAAAAAAAGCGTAAAAAAAGATGTTTTCTCATATCACGCTTAAACTTAGTATTTTCAAATTGAAAATTAAAACGACGTAAACGACAAAATTCGCCAAGAGACTCGAAGAAAAAAAATTGGAAAATTTCTAAAATGCAATTACGATACCTCCTCGCAGATCTTCGAAATATTTTCATAGCCACTTTGTGACAACCGAGTGCGTACAAACTGGACAACGCTTTGACTGGTCATAAAATTCCATATTCCGTCGCACGCGAGCACCATAAATTCGTCCTTCCCCGGTTCGATTGTGATGTGCCTCACATCCGGTAGAGCGGAGATCATTTGTTCTTGGGGCGGTAACACCATATTCTTCTTGTACGCATGATCGCCGAGCGCTCTGGATAGGTTCAAACCGCCGTTCACTCTGCCGTCACTCGTCACTTCTCCGCCTGCTTTTACTATACGTTCCATTTCCGGTGCGTCTTCAGGTTTGTGATCCAGACTGAGTTCAATAGCTTGACCGTCTCTGCATAGAACACAACGAGAGTCTCCGGCATTGGCCACGTACAATTCGTTGCCTTTGAGAATCGCTACAACCGCGGTACATCCGCTGTCCGAACCGGGCTGAAATAAAAGTTACACACATTATAAATTTTTAAGTAAAATTTTTACTATATATATATATGTAATTATTACACAACACCATTTACCTTTTCCGCATTAATCATGAGATCGTCAGCGTCTTCGTCAGACTCCTGATCTAGATCTTCTTCTTCGATCTCATCATCTTCATCTTCATCGCTTTCATCGTCAACGTCGTCCGTATCATCTTCTTCGCTGTGAAACGACAAGAAAAAAAAAACTTCCTCGATTTAAGTGCAACGCGCTTAGAAATCACGTGCTTTTTACATTAAAATAATCAAAAATTTATACCTTCCAGGAACACCGTCGAACGTTTCATCATTTTCGTCATCGTCATCATCTTCGTCGGACTCATCACTGTCTTTTTTAAGTAAACTTTGGTAAAGATCCACAGATTGAATTTTTTTTCGACTGCTGGTTATTCGCTCTTGCTGACCTGCGTCTCCGTTCTCTACAGGAGTACAAGAACTGCTTGACACATTGTCTCCTCCGCCTTTACTGCTATCCGCGTCCTCCACTCTCTTAGATTTTGCACCATTAACCTCTACTTCATTGGCATTGGACTCAACGCATTGTGTTGTTTTTCCGGGACTTGAGATTTCCTTCACGTCTTCGGAACTGTCAGGCATATCCATGGGTTTAGCAAGTTCCGCGTCCGCAGTAGATTCCACTGGCGGAGACGTGTGAGCACTGCCGTTGCTTGTTGTCGAGTCCAATACTTGCTCGGCCTCATTGCTTCCCGGACAGTCGGAGTCTTTTCGCTCAACGGTGCTTGATAGTGTCGATCCGCAAGGCTGACTCGAACTACTCACATCTGTCTCATTTGTATTCCACGACGAGGACGAAGACGATGTGGGTGGTGGCGATGGCAATGACGAACATCCCTCACCGGACGACGAGCAACTAGCTTTCTCGCGCCCTCTGCGACCGCGTAGGTAAGGACTCGCAAACGCGCGTTTACATTTCTCTCCTTTCAAGTTTTTAACATGAGGATTTGGCATCCCTGATTGGTACTTCGCTATTACTTGTTCCAACGGCATTGTCGCTTCCATACATAGATTATTAACATTCTCTTCTTCATCTGCACGCAACGTAATGTAGGAAGACAATCTTATTAAATGTTTACTCATACAGATAGACAAAAGAAGAACATGAGTTTTTACAAATAATAAAATTAAGAAAATTATGCGTAAAAAGGTATATCCTGTAATAATGCATATCCTTAGTATGAAAAGAAACGCACCAGATTCGTTTGTATCAATGGCTTTTTTCTCTGAAGTAAAAGACGTTCCCGCTAACTCTTTGAGGATATTGACTACTTCTGGTGTTGTGAGAGTGGCATCAAAACCAAGAAAAGCATCTATCAGAGCTTGTCTGATGTCGCCATTTTTGTAAGCTTCTGTCTGTTTAATAAAATCAGGAAGTTTCTGAGCACAGTATGTTGCAACCTCATGTCCTCCATGGCCATCGTATACAGCAAACAGCGAACAATTCTCATCGAAATCTATACAACAGTTGTGGGCATCCTAGAAAAATAATTATAAGAATCAGTGCTCTTGCTCGTATAGATGATGCATCTTGGCTTGATAATGATATTAGTTTGTTTTATTGGCGTTAGCAAATAAAGCAAGATAATATAACAAATTGCTTTTATATGTTCAATACCACTATATAACTTCTTCATATTTACAGGCCAATAATAAATATTATATTCTATCGCATGTATCTCTGTTGAAAAACGTTAAAAATTATATTTGTATCAATCTTTTTCATCATACAACATCAACTGTGTGGATTTTGTTTTGTTGAGATATCTTGTCTGTTAGCAAATAAATGATAAACCAGGAATATCAAATGGCGTTAATGGGTGTCGGATTCGACGTTTGGTGCGCGTCGGCGATAACCGGAGCGCGGTGACCGGTTAACCAAATAATCGGTCAACCCGGCAAATTGTGCGAATCCATCGCCCGCCCGAACTAGACTGGAAGATACGACAAACGCACGCCACGCGATCGCAATATCTTCGTCATCGTCATAACTATCGTTGTTATTGTTGTCGTCGTCGTCGTCGTCGTCGTCGTCGTCGCCGTAACTACGACTTCCCGCTTACCTCTTGACTGACCCGCCAGCCTTGCATGGAGCTCGCACCGTATGCAACATTCTTTCCCACTTCGTCGCTCGACTCCTTCTGCGTTTTCGGCTCCGACAAGTACGCGCCCATGTTTCGAAATACCGGCTGGCCGTCGTGTGAATCCCGCGGCGTCTAAGCAAATATCGCAATATCTCGCTTGAAAAACAAGACTCGCCAAGCGTGGTAGTATACGGTCGTTAACTAGCCTCTCATGACCGGTTTTTGGCTTTTCTGTTTTCCAACGCGCAGCTGGCGCCAGCTGCACGACACGAGCGGACGCGGGAGCGTGTGCGCATGCGCCGCCATCTTTTCCTTAAATACGTCGAACAGTTTTGTATATAGGTGATATATGATATATGATTCTATTCGTACAAGCTTTCTTATTATATGAAATTGCATTACTGCATAGATACGTTTATTTCATATGAAAAAAATGATTATTTTATAGCACCCGCTCAGTTAATTTTCAATAATAGATAAATCAATAAAATTATTGATTATCGTATACTAGTTAACAAGTATTTTACATATATGTTCTTTTCTTATTTTTAGTTAAAAAAAATTTATATTAAAAAACAATGTACGTTTATATCAAATTCAACCGATTCTAAAAGGCATAATAAAACGCTATTGGTTTTGTGGGCTTGTTCTCTGACGGAACCAATAGAGATTCATCTATGTCTTTTAGGATTGGTTGATAATTCCTTAGTATCTTTATATATATGTATACATATTGTATATTGGTTGTTTTGTGACGTGACGGATGAAAAATTTACATTTTAAATCTCATTTTATCGCTCTTACATTGAAATAATTTAGGGAAAATTTTGGAGATTTTTTGGTAAACGAGACAGTACCGTTTATAAGTTTATTAGAGTTAAAAAAAAACCCACATTTGAGTAAACGCAGTCATTTATGTCGCCATTTTATTGTATATAATGTAATTATATAAAAGATATAATTTTACATTACAGAAAAGTAAATCACTATATAATACTGATAGATATTATAATTTTAAAGTGATAAGTACAAAAATTATTACACAATAAAGGAGAAGGTAATATGAAATGGATTGTGAGATAAAATAGATTAGTACAATCTTGTCAATAGAAATATCTGCTGCAAATAAAAATACAAATTAGTTTTCTCTCTAATATTTTTTCACTGTTCAAAAAGTATTATTGTTATACTGCAAATATAAAAACTCTGATCTATTTTATCTCGCGGTCAGTTCACCTTGCTTGTTTTTTTCATTCGTTCACACAGAACAAAAACTCCATTAGACATTCTATTAGATATCACATAGAGCTGTTTACGTCTAATGGAATCTTTGTGCTATGTGTATATTGTATATTGTTACTTTTTTGTTGCTTGTCTTTATAATCGTCGTTTGTGTAATTTATTATATCACACAAATTATGATTGTAAAGAAATAATTTTGTACATATTTTGTATATTACATTTCTATGTATACATGCGTATATATTATATGTGTATAATTATAATATATATGTATATTATACTGAAAAATGTTGATATAGCCGAATTGTTTAGATAGATTAAGCCAATCTGAACAAAAAAGTCTTGTACCATTTTGCAAAATTTGCAATAGGTATTAAGTAATTAATTAATACGTTTGACCCAATAAGTGCGTGGGAAGCAATGATCCGGACTCGATAGGCGTGATATGATTTTCAGTTGTAAAGAAAATGTGTTTTGACACACTTTGGCTCAACATTTTTCGAACACCCTATATATTTCTTGAGAAAACTATATCTCAACTTTTTCCATGTATTTTCTGTATAATTTATTTCAATTTTTTACAAATTGTACATTCTATCACATACACACACAAATATATGTATGCAAAAATGTGCAATTTACTTAAAAAATAATTCTAAAACCATATGAAATAATATTTTCAAATCAAAATTTATCATGTCAAATTATTCATTCATCATCAAATTTTATCCCAATGTATAATTATCATAGATGCAAATAAAAAAACTATTGAACTATTATGGCTGCGTTCCGTTTCACGCATATGCGCGCATTTATCTATAGTACACGTTACGTATAGTATAGATAAATGCGCGCATATGCGTAAAACGGAACGCAGATTATTACTCAATTTTCTCAAGAATAAAAAATTTAGCTATGTAAAAGTAAAATGCAACAGTCACAAACAATTACCGGTTATTATCTATTGTGTATATTACACATAAATATTACACATAATATATTACACATAAAATATTACACAAATATAAATGTTACCTGCAAAAGTTCAAATATACTTAAAAGATATTACGTTTGTTCAGTACATTTCTTCAAGAGATATTGCGTCTTTATATACGCTGTAGGTGTACAAATACTAAAAAATTAATATACCTGAGTTATACTTCTGTACTTGAGCTGAAATATGATAACAATAATGGATTCACGGATGGCAATTGGTTTTTTATTATCTGTGCGCTATAATAGCAATATTCTTGAAATCTTTTGAGCTCAGTTTTAGAAATTCCTTTAGTAAGATTGCGAGATAATTCAAATGGATCTTGTATAGATAGTGACGTTATAGGAAACTGTTCACTACAATGCGGAGCCAACTTTTTCAAATCAAATTCATTTTGTTTTAGTGGCTTGCCTAGCAATGGACAAATAATGTATTCGTAATTAAACTCCGCATAAAAAATAAAAAATCCCATTAAAAGTTCTTCGAAAGTAAAATTTGGTGTTCTAACATGAAAGTTATAACTTACACCAACTTCCCAACCTAAATAAAACAAAACAAATAATCTCAGTAACGTATAAACTAAAAAGTAAACACAATAAAACATAAACACATATAAATCAATCAAATAAGTATCTTTTGCAATTTATTTGATTTAGTAGGCAAATTCAGCAAGTAATTCTCTTTTGTATTCTCTTTTTGTAAGTAATTTCTCTATTGTCAACTTTTCTTTAACACAATTTATGATTGTTTTGTTTGTATTTTGTTTATCAGTATGATTCAATATTATAACTTACCATCAATTTTCCATGATTTATTGCTTAAGTTTATCAGTCCCGAAATACTCGGAAAAACTAGCAATTTTTGCAAATAAAAGATTACACACCACGTTAGAGCGTAGTTGGTTATTTTATATGATCCTGAGAGATTAGAGTATCCTAACCATTGCTTAAGAAATAAAATCATTTTGCGGCCACATGGGAATGCTTGATTAAAAAATCTTAAAAAAATAATAATAATAATGTGCATTTACTTACAATACAAGAAGTGTACATTCACACAAAAATGTGCGATATTAAAGATATTTAAACTAAAGTAGATCTTAAACTAGATCTAGATAAATTAGATCTTAAGTAGATCTTAACGCAAAAGAAGACAACTTACCCAATTAGTTTTGTGTTCTCGACTGCTAGACCATTTGTGACTGAAATGTCACACATCAGTCTTAGCGGAATATTATAAACCTTTGCAATAGGTATCTTAGTATTTAACACTATATTCTGCACTTTCCACACTTGAGAATTACTAGATAAGAGACTTGCGATTTCAAGTATTAGATTTTTGGGATCTCTATGTGATAAATTTCTTCCTTCGTACATGTGGTCTGTAATATGAACATGTGATATAAAAAATCAAAGAAAACGCATACATGTATAAAGCATAAAATAAATACAGATTTTTCCTTATGTGTATAATTAACATCATAAATCAAGAGTGACTTACCGCAGTCCAAAAATATATCGATATCGCTGCCAGGCAATGCTAAGTCCGAGATTCTAGATCCAAAAGGATAAGCTCTTAAATTAGGAAAATTCCACTGTAACTGAACCTCTATGCTACACACCATGTTGTGAATCATCTCATTGTAACTCTCATAATTAGATTGTTCAAGTAGAGCTTCAGCTTTTTGTTCAGCTTTCAGTAAAATATTTGAAACTCTTTTTGGTACTTTACCTAGTATACCACCATATACTATTCTGTTTTTATGTTCTAATGTTTCATAATGATACTTGAATGCTTGTGAATTTCCAAACCACAAATATTGACATGTGTAACAGTAGTAAAAGTTAAATTGCAGATCGTGTGCAAAAGTTGAATTGCAGATTGCTTTGTATAATTCTGCAAGCCGTCTTCTATGATAAAAAACACCCAAGTGTTTTATGAAGTTACTTTCCAATGGACTTTCATAAGAACAAAACTCACAGAGGTATTTGCGTGCAGAATATTTTTTGTTAGAAAACAATTTATGTATAGTTTGCAGATCTTCTTTTACAGATGATGACCAAGATTTTTTCCAATTTTGATGATTGTTGCTTATTATATGTTCAGCAATTGCCTGATCGTCATTATTTACTTTGTTAGGTGAGTTTTTGCCTTCACATAATAAGCATACAACATTTTTATTTTCATCTAATATCATGTGTTCTCGTGCCAATCCCAATATGCTGAAAGGTTTTCCATCCTTCAGACAGTTTATATCATTGTTTACCATTTGAGATAACAGCTTCTTATGAGTGTCAGAATATTTAATATGATTGGCAAATTCTTCTGACAATTTGTTATTCTCTTCTATAGAAATTTTTTTATTACACGTTATGCAGTAATACATTCTATCATCTTTGCATAATGAGAAGTATATATTGAGACTTAATGTATCTATCATTGCATACATTGCCTCTCTACATTCAAAATTTATTTTAGAACATTCGGACTCCTGAGGAATTTTGGAATTCTCTTCTTTATCTGATAAATAATCATAATAATTCTCATTATTTTTCTGTAACGCCTTTTCTTTTTGTTGTTTTCTTCTGGTCTTTCTTTGATTCCTTTTTGAACACAATTTTATATTGTCTTCTATTATACTGTCTTTTATTAACAAATTGTCTAGTAAAGTAAAACTATTATGCTTATTATTATTAAGTCTTTCATATGTATCGCCTATTGTGGCCAAACGAAATTCTATTCTGCTTTTTTCCTCAAAAGTTAACTGCAAGCTCTGTGCTTGATCAATCACATTGTCTATATCTTCGACGTTATCTTTCTGAGAAAGACTGGATATTTTTATTTTGTTTTCATCGAGAAGTATCTCATCGTCTTCTTTTATTACATTTTCGTTAGTAGAAATGTCTTCATCGAGAAGTATCTCATTTTCTTCTTTTATTACATTTTCGTTAGTAGAAATGTTTTCATCAAGAAGTATCTCATTGTCTCCATTTATTACATTTTCGTTAGTAGAAACGTTTCCATCACTTCTAACGCTATTTAGATTTGTGCAAGTAATTAACGAAGTAGTTTTCTTTGGTAAAATAGAGATATCTTCTAGTACTTTTTTCATTTAAGTTGTTATTTATACATTCATCCGTTAATTGCGCATTTTGTGTTTTATCTTGTTCTTTTTTCTCCTCTTTTTTCTTCAATTTATTTTTTTGTCTCCTTCTTCTACATTGAACAGAATCTTCAATAATCGACGTCATCATGTACTTACTGATTTTATTAGGTATACTTGTCGACGAATAAGCTATTACGTGACACGTGGTGCTCAAAGATTTGGTAGGTTGGTTTGGTTTGGTGCAAGTCAGTGTTCACAGTTTTAGCTTCCTTACAGCATGCTGACTTAGAATGGCGTATGGACAGAGATGCCAGATCGCACCGGACAGCATCGGTCTAGTTTCCACCGAAGCATTGGGTGCGTTCAGACAACTCAACGGTTGAGAGATCATCACTTACGATAGGACTATTCTTCAAAATCTGCTGCGGTTCCAAAAGTATGATCCAATCAGAAGTGATTATCTCTCAACAGTTGTGCAACTGTTGAGTTGTCTGAACGCACCCATTAATTCACACCTAATGCGACGTAGAATATGAGTACAGATTGATCCTTAAGAGCCGTCTACAATGGAGAGTTGTAGGCCGTAATAGTAAGAAATTGACCAATCACAGACAAAGTACAGAAGAATAATCGATTGTGATTTGTCAATTTCTTACTGTTACAGTCTAAAACTCTCCATTGTAGACGGCTCTTTATGTTACCGAAGCACTGTATGTACGTATACAGTCTTTAAGGCCTGTTCTACAATACAGTCGTAAGCTGTAAGTCGTAAGAAATTGATCAATCACAGATTAATCACAGAAGAATAATCGATTGTGATTGGTCAATTTCTTACGACTTACGGCTTACGACTGTATTGTAGAACAGGCCTAAAGGGTGCTTTCCAACTACGTACAAAGGCGACACTGTGGGTTTGTTCGCGTCGCATGCCCCAACATGCTCCTACTCGCTCCAACGCGCTCTAATACGTTCGCGTCACCGGAAACAATATGGCGACTAGGTGTTCGCGTCGCGTTAGAGCGTACCCTAAGGGGCAATTAGGAGCATGCTCTATTTGCCTCAGCTTTAAAGATGGTGCAGTTGGGGCATTTTGTTGTGCACATGCGCAATGATTGAGCCGATTGAGGACGAGTACAATAATTTTTATGTCGTACATATCTCCTGTTTCGGGATCAATTTGAAAAACGTCTTATTTAAAAGTATGTGGAAATTATTGTGTAGATCTTATCAGGCAAGGAATTCACTGTTGAGAAGCTTATAATAATTAAAGTATTAAGTGTAATAATTGTTTCTCATTTTTTTTAGTTGCAAGAGAAATAATGGAACTTAATCAGAAAAGTATAATAACACATCCCACAAGTATTAATTCCTCGATAACCAGACCTGTGATTTCAAATTCAGCTGTGCCTAAAATGCTGTCATTTAAGTTAATTAAGCCCAAGACTGTTGCACTTACTCCTGTAACTTCTACAACAGACTCGACACAGTATCTAACCACAACAACCACTGTGCCTTTAAATTCTTTACTGGATGTAGCAAGTTCTTCCAGAATACACTCTCAGGCTGTAATTAATGAAAATTCTTCAGCTACAATTCCCTTAACAAGTTCTGTACAGCACGTGCCTTCATTGGATTCTTCAACTGTATATATAGACTCAGATGATGAAAAAGAAAATAATTCTGCTTTCAACAAGNATGGTCACTTTATTTGGGATCACAAAACTATAATGTTGTTTTTCTCAGAATATGAAGAACATCAGAAAAAGCTACAAGAAAAAAAATATCAAAGTAAAGAGGCCATGTTTCACGCAATAGCAGAATCGTTCCAGAAAAGAGGTTACAGAAATGCTACCAAAAATCACATAAAAAATAAATTTAAATTATTAAAGAAGAAATGGGACAAGTATATTAAACGTACCATGGGAAAAAACAGCTCTGGGAAAGGCATGAAACCTCTTCCATATGAAAAGTAAATTTCATTTTTTGTTTTCTGTACCCAACTGTAAATATGATATTTTTTAAGTGAATACTTACAATTTAACAATTAATCAATTTAATCAATCTTCTTGTTTGGTATTTTTATTCTTTTATTATTTTCAAACTATCTTATGTACTTATAACGATTAATTAATTGAATATATCATATTTGTTCTTGCAGTGAAATGACAAAAATATTCGGGAAAAGTCATAGTGGAACACCAGCTTTTGTGGTTGGTCGCAATGAAATTGTTTCTCAGCAAGAGATTTTGCAAAAAGTTGGTCTAAATTTGCCTGAGTAAGTAATCATTATCTCTTTAAGAGGTTTTTTTATTTTTTTTGATACACAGTTTAAAGTGTTTTCTGTTACAGGAATGACAATGAAGAGCAGTCCTCTATCGCACCAAACTCACCACTTTCGACATCGACAGTTAATAGTGAATCTCGATCAATGGCGGATAGTTGCAGTTTATCTATAACGGATAGCAGCTGCTCATCTCTAGTAAATTCAAAAGCAAAGGTACGAGATGGTAAATTGGCACTTACTGTACAATCCGTTAAAGAATCCATCTGTGCTATGCTACAAAACGAAAGTAAGGCCAAACAAGAAACACGAACACAATACCTGACAGAGCTTCAAAAGTGTAATGAGCTACAAAAAGAGCGAAATAACATCTTGCAAAAGCAACTTAAAGTATTAGAGAGACTGGAAAAAAAACTATATAAAAATATGCCAGAATTATACCCAACACAAAAAGAATCATCAAATGAAGAAGAATTATAAGACTGAAATCACTATAGATATAAGATAGTTATTATATAAATATTATATAAATATAATATTTTATATAAATATTAATTTTATATATAAACATAGTTTATATATAAAATTTATGAAAATGTTTATTTTGTTTGAAGTTTTTTTTACGTTGAAATAATTTTTAGTTTATCTTTTCATTAACAGTGAATGCCATTTGTACAGGCTATCAAAGTCGCACTGAGTGCGATTTTTTAAATGAAATTCGCTGTGTAAATTTGATATATTTTCTGTTGTTTATTTTTTGTTGGTATTGATAGACAAAGTTTTGTGTTAAGCTTTGCAAAAGCGCAAACTGCGTTTATTTGTTGAGTTTTTAAAACAGCATAACTTGCAGAGTAAACAATCAGCTAGCGATCGAAGATCAAAACTGTTACATTTTTTGTTAATCATCAATGAAGTAACTGTATGCTATATAAAACATGTACTGTTTTACATTATGCATTTATGTATTGTATTTTTCTACACATATTTTTATAAAAAACTAGGATATATGAGATTAAACCAGACTGATTCGTAGATGTAACTTTGAACAATTTTCTATTATTTAGACATAAAATATACAAAGAATAAAACATTAACATTGGAACTTAACATTTAAGTGTTTTTTATTCTATTTTTTAAACTTATAATCTTAATAATTAAGCTTCATAATCACTAAAATAATACTTCATGGTGCTACAAAATAAATAAAATTATATGTACACGCACGAAATAAAAATCAAATGTGAGAACACATTTTAACTTAGCTATATAATTTGACAAAAAAATACTTATTAGGAGAGTTAATCATCTCGTTACTTTTTAGGGATATATCTAAACCAATTTGCATAAGCTCATAATACATGTATAAATAAAACTTAGTCAATCAATTGCTTACTTTTTTTTATGAAAAAATAATTAACACAATTATGATAATGCATAGACATTATGTAGTTATGCAAGTTTGTTATGAATATTCTCTTATTCGTTGATTTGCCTTTGAAATAATTGTCGGCACAATTCGTCTCTAAAATCTTTACCACGTCGATCATCAATTGGATTTTCATCTCCATCTGCTGCCGGGACATGATGTAACAACGCTTGCGCGTTCACATCGATATAGTCGTCATCTTCAAGTTGTTCCATGTGCTGCAAATCATCTAAATCAGCCATATTGTGAAGGACGCAGCAAGCGAGAATGAATTTGACGATGAACTGCATGTTCCTCAGTTTAAGAAAATATAGCTGCCTGAAACGCTGTTTCAGCACCCCAAATCCATGTTCCACAGAAACTCTGCATTGACTGTGTATGCGATTAAAATTTCTTTGAGCCTGCGTTAAATGTCCGTTATCCCGATATGGAGTAATTAATTGGAGAAGGCATGGGTATGCAGCGTCTGCAAGAAATATGCTTCCATCTGAAATAAAAGCACATTTATTTGAAGTTAATATCTAAGGCTGAGTAAATGTTCATACATATTTTAATTAAAATGAAGAAGAAAGTATTAATTAACTGTATTGAACAAGAAAAATAACATTTTACTAAAACACAATAATACAGTAAATAATAAATATGTAATAAATGATGCATTTCATACTTTGACAAAGTGCTGGCAAGTCTTCAGCCAAGCTAGAATTTGCAAATGCTCTTGCATCGTGCACTGAGCCAGGATATCCGATAAATACATCTAAGAATTTTTTTTGCTCATTAACTGCTCCCTGCATATGTACAGAAAAATAACGTTTTCTGTTAATGTAGGCTACTGGATCTTCGGAAGGTTTGTCAATACGGATATGTGAGCCATCAATACATCCTATAACAAAAAAAAAAACATTAAATGAGTTAACGTCATTGAATTACACAAATGTGAGTCCGGATCAAATATATCACTAGATAGAATTATTACCGATTATTCCTGGAAAACCTTTATTTTCTAAATAGTATCTCTGCGTTCTTTGCTTCTCCATCTCAGTCGGATATCGAATAAATTCATTCCTTACATCATATAAAAATTGTGTGACCCTCCGTAGCACCGATTCGAGAGTACTGAGAGAAAGATCGAATCTATCAGCTACATCCCTAAAGCTTGCACTTTGGTGCCCAGCAAACCANAGAAAGGTGAGAATGTGTTTTTCGGCTGAAATTACTTCAAATCCTCCATGTCCTGTACAAAAATATTGGTCAAAATTAATTCAAAATAAAGTCAAAAACTTTCAATATAAATATATCTAAAAAAACCAATACTTACTTCCCAAATTTCTAAAATATGGCCAATGGCTAAATTTTTCTACTAAACTCATGAAAANCGTTCTTTTTAAACGATAATGCATAACAAAGTCTCTATCTGTATACGTTGGTACTATATTTTCAATGTAGTTGGTTACACATGTCCTGTGTCTTCTTTGAGCAAAACCTTCTATCATTTCAACAATTGCATTAACAGCGATATCTGCAAATACAAATTACGTAAAATTCAATANAAATGCGCAAACTACTCAAAAAAATATGAGTTTAAAACGAACCTAATCTTTACAGATTGCAAAGCTTTTTGGAGATCAAACAAAATTAATCACATTTGTATCAATACTTACTCTCTATTTCGTCATCGTTCTCATCTATTCCAAATAAATCATTAATACCTGCAAAAGGCACAAGATTTTGTGCAAAAATGTCTTCNTTAAGTTCATTATTTATTATGATACGAATACCAGCAAACAAATTTTCGAGCGGATCCATGGCTTCGTTCCGATATTCACTGTCAGTACTAAAAATCTATACCTCACATCACATGTGCTATAGATTTCCAGTACTGGAAGTGAATATCGGAACGCAGCCCATATTGCTAGAGAAGGAGAAGTGCCTCAGATCGTTCGTGTCACTGGACGTTAGCGCACATGAACTTATCTGCCTCAACCGCCATCGTATTAGTGATCCAAGTGCTCTGTGGTATACATTGGAGCATGCGACCCGAACAAACCTTGTGTAACACTGGTCTAGTTTCCACCGAAACCCTCAATTCGGTTTCACTCCGGTACTGATCAAATTTAGTGCTCTGTTTCCATTGGAAGTAGAGTACTTATAGATCGAAGCGGAAGTGAAATCAGCACAATTTGACAGGTTTCCATCGACTTGAATTTGATTCTACGTCGCATTTGGTGTGAATTAATGCTTCGGTGGAAACTAGACCAGTAAAAAACGAACGCAACCATAGGGTGCTTTCCAACTACGTACACAGGCTACATCTTTCGAACATAACATACGTACCGACAAAAGTCGTTCGTGAACATGGCTACGTAGTTACTAATGTGCACCACCCATGAACATTGCGCTGGCTTACAGAACGGAAAAGCGATTACACATTCTCTCACAGGCCTGGCCGCTCTCAGTCTTCTTTCTGACCGCACTCAATAGTAACTGTGAACTGCCAACTGTCTCGCTATATGTTACACTACGTTTGCACTACGTGTCATCTTATGCACATACACGATCTTAATTTGCACTAACAACTGACAACTGTGACTTTTGATCTCTTCGAAATTTTTTCTCGAACACCTGCTTGTTTCAACAATTTTAAAAGTACATATCTGAAAGTATTCAAGGTATCGTCGTTTTTTTCTCAGTGTCTTTTTTTTTTGTTTGCTCGCGGCGAAATTAAAAGCTATTCAAGAAAGTTCGTTAAAAAACGTCAGCGTGTTGATAGATAATGAGTGCGGAAAACATATGCGTGTCTGATGTACCTGTTCCGCAATTGTTGTTTCGCTGTAACAAAAGCACACATTTTTAAATGATAATTAAAAGACTGTTATTATTGAGACAACTTTCGGTATCGGTGCTCAAAAATGTGATTTTCTATTCTGTGATTTCTGCGAGAAACTCACACATGTTTCGGTCGTGCAGTTATTATCATTACTGTTTGCAATAATAAATAATTTAAAACTTTAAGAATTAAATGAATATACGTACATATATGTTGTTTAATTTCTTTTTATTTATCAGTCATAAAAGAAAAATTTGTTAATGTTAGCAGTGCAGTTTACAGTTGAATTTGCATATGTTGATTTGTGTATGCAAAACGTGTGTGTGTATGTGTGTGTGTGAAAGAAATTATAAGTCACTGAATGTTAATTTTCTTCAGAAGAAGAGTTCAAGATTTCCAGAATTGTAGATACTAGTTCACAGAGTAGAGAGAAAGAATATAGTTTGCATAAATTACACATGTATATGTGTTGCACACATATATTTTTTTTTGTAGTTGTTGTGAATTAAGTACTTGAAAACTTTTAACTTATTACGGTTGTTGTTGATTTTCAGAATGCGGCAATTGAAGGGAAAAACGAAAGAGACGAACAAACAAAAGAAAGAAAGAAAAAAGGAATTTCTGGAAATTAAGCAAAGACTATTCACAGTTGTGTTGCCCACAATAGCTGCATTATTTGTGATAATAACAGCATACATTTATGTTAAAACCCGTCCAAAGGTTATTGAATATTGAAAACATATGCCACCTCTCTTTATCATTCGCTCATTGAAATAACGCGCCGCATACGTCGACAATGTATAAATTCCATTTGCATTTTTATGAACATATAAAAGATGGTTTCTGGCAGGCACATTCCACACTGTTTTCTCCAAAGAGTACTCTGTAATATCCTGGTAATAATTTTTCTACAAAAAAACTTATTTTCAACAACTACACTATATTTACAGACATTAGTTATTTTTAACTTGATAAGAAAATTATATTTTCAAGCTAAAAATAACATTAAGATGTAAGTAAGTATATTGAATGAAGCACAGAGAAATAGTGCAGTTTTTTACAAAAGCATCATAATATAAAAAGAATTAGGGAAAAAATGTACATTGCTATAATAAACCTGATTAAAAACTCAAATAATATATACACACATCACACATACATATATATATATGTAAATTAGTATTTATTTTCATGTCTTCCTTAATTATTGTTTATATCCATGAGTTAGTACGAACAAATATGATAAAAACTATCAGTATGTAACGAGTATAAAATTTTAGTATATAATATTTTTGCCGATCAAGTCTATATTTTGTATTGTAAAACAAAGAAGTTTATATATATGTATATATATATATATATATACACACACATACACACGTATATATATACACATATAATATATAAGTGTTTTACTAATTGTTGTTGAATCAAATATATGTAAAAACAGCATGTAAGACACTTAACTAATGAATATGGGTCCAAGACAGTATAAAAATATATTTGTTATACATAAACAATTTATAGTGTTTTACAGTCAATTTGTTCTCCATATAGCTGTAAGTTTTATGTTATATACATATATGTACTGCGTGTCTGAAACTTTTTGACACAGCTGAAATGTGAAGGTAGATCGAAGAGATCATTTTGGAACAAAAAAGTCGTATAACATTTTTTTAAATTTGCAATATTTATTAAGTTTTATTACTTAATTGATATATAAGCCAATAAGCGCGAAAGAAGCTAAAATCGGCTGAATTCTGTAGGCGTGTATAAAACTATGTGATTTTCAGAAAATCAATAAATCAATATCAGTTGATAGCGGAAAACGTGCCCGTGCCACATGTCGCTCGCTGCGTTGCTCCGCCTCTCGTTGCTAGGAGACAATCTTTCTCTACAATTGAAAATCACATGGTTTTGTATTTATCTACAGAATCCCGTCGATCGCTTCCCACGCGCTTTTTGGCTTATTCACGAACAAACTTAATTAAATTAATTAGTAATATTCATTACAAATTACAAGAGTAATAATACTTGTAATGAATATTACAATAATTAATATAATTAAGTAATGAATGTGTTGCTTGTAATATTACTTATAATATTCATTACAAGTTATGTAATGAGAAATGTTGTTAATTAATTATTTTGTACCGTTATTTTTAATTAATAAATTTATTGAATATTACAAATTTTGCAAAATGACTTTTTCGTTTGGTCTAATCTATCTTCACACTTTAGCTGTGTCAAAAAGTTTTTAGACACTATATAGAGAAAATATAAGAATTATCCGCACACTCCTTTAAAATAATAAAATAATTAATGAAAATATCTGTAAGTGTTTTTAATTAGCTACTTTTTCTCATTTTTTGTTAACAATCGCATTCCTTCGAAAGGAATTATACGTGTATACAATGTATGCATATTTTTACGTTCAGCAACTCAACAATTGCACAACGGTTGAGGATATTACTTGTGAGAAAAACACTATTCTTCAAAACTTATCACTAAAATTTGGGTTAAATATAAGATACTAATCACTCAACTGTTGTTATTTTTGAACGTAACTTATGTGCTGTAAAAATGTGCTGCAAAAAAGTGACATATGTCACGCTACATAGTATCGGATGCTAACACGTGGATCACAACCAATGGAACGCCACCACGTATTTACATCTCGTGTCACTGCGTATCATCGAGCATTTGACCGGCGTCGTCTATTGAAAAATTTCATTTCTATCAGTTATCATTAAGAAACTAGAATAATGAACTACGCCACGCATCTTATTATTTCAAGTTTAGCAACAATATTACTGTACATAAATTGTATTCAAGGTAATTTTTAAAATTAACTTTCTAGGAATGCAATTATCCATGTAAATATGCCTCTATAGGTTATATTTTGCTATCAGTGTGTTCGTCATGTATTGTATACTACTTCATTTTTATTGTTTTTTTGATAGGTTTTTACATATATATATAATTTATTTATTTTATTTTATTTTATTTTAGTTGTACATAAATAATTTGTATTTAAACTATTTATGTACAATAAGTTTTATATTCAATAAGTTGTAATTTAAATGTTATTAACATTTCCAAAACCTTTATCAAATTCCATATTATTATACATCTTTTTATGTATACCATAAACAATTTATATATGTTTAAAATCTTGATTATATTGCGCTTGCAAGTTATATTTATGTCAGTTTTATAACCGCGTTACATTTTATACAGCTAGACGTATGCATCATGTGACTTGTGGCTCTGTGATAAAGTTGTCAAATATGGAAACCAAAGTGAGATTACATTCTCATGACATAAAATACGGAACTGGCAGTGGACAACAATCTGTGACAGGTATTGATCGCAAAGAAGATGGTAATTCATATTGGCTTATTAAAGCAGAAAATGGAAAACAATGCACAAGAGGGTACGTTCTTGCAGTAACAACTATGTAGCTTTTACTTTATGATACAGTTCTGTCTGTATTTTGCAAACAGTAATATTAATACATGTATATATCTTCATCTTTTAATATGTAGTGAGAAATTTGAATGTGGAGGTACTATCAGATTAGAACATCTTACAACCCAGAAGAATCTCCACTCACATTATGTTAGTTCACCTCTGAGTGGAAACCAGGAAGTATCTGCATATGGAAATAAAGGAGAGGGTGATACTGGTGACAACTGGATACTACAATGTGAAGTTGATTTTTGGGATAGAGATCAAGGAATTAAATTGCAGCATGCTGACACTGGGAGGTGAATATATTGTTTATGAAATTATCAGATGTGTGCGCGTTTATAAATTTTAAACATACATATATAGACAATAATAATTAAGAAACTTATAAAATATAATACATACATATCTTTTGTATAATACATTTAAGAAACTTTTATATATGATATATATATATATATATATCTATAAATTTTGTGTTCTCAGATATTTAGCTGTTAGCGGTAGAACTTATGGTAATCCAATCAGTGGACAGATGGAAGTAATAGGATTAGATTGTTTACATTGTGACAAAAATCCTAGGCCTCACGCAACATGGTTGGTAGGGGAAGGATTATTTATGCATCCTAGTGATGTAATGGAACAGCATCGTCATCATCATACAGAATTATAAAACCAATTTTCATAGCTATAAGTAGCTCTTGTCTATACACAAATAAATACGCAAGTAAAACAGAAAAAAGATCAATCATATATTATTCTATCACAAAAGTAATGTCATGGAACTATGCTTCCGAAACTTTTTTTTTATGATAAAATATCAATGTTAAATTTTTGTTAAAAAAAAAAGAATTTTGTACAAACTGGGTATTACTTAAAATTTGTTGGATAATATATGAAAAAAGTGACATTGTAAGGTTGGAATTCAAAGGAAGTTTTTACCCTGCTTTAGCAGGCTTATATTACTTATTTAATTAATTTTTGTATTATTACATATTGCCACGAACATTCGCATATATGTGAGATTACGTATAATAATTTATATTAATATCATTTAGTACAAACAGTTTACACACAACGCTCTAAAAACTTTCAAAAAGTATAAAAAAACAATGATATTTATGTTCTACAGCGTGTTCGAAAGCGTAAAATGTTTTGTACATATTGCTGTTATATTTATTAAAATATAAATACATAATAAAGACGTAATCAGATTTTGTCTTTGATGTGCTCATCTCTCTTCTGCCTGTGGTTCGATATGTTTTTACACTTCCTTCAGTTCATATTTACCATTGATGTCTCTTGTACCTATGAGACCGTTGTACGGAAAGATAACGTTTGATAGACCATAGCTTCCAAATATTTCTTTTAGGCTTTGCTTTCCCGTTAAGTTCGCGTAACGTTGTTTGCCGGTCAAACAGCTGTGCATTTTCCAAATGCCGAGTACTAGACAAATACACAAAATAGACATAAGGGCATCGAATATTGTGACAAGCAGTATACTCGAGCCGTCTCTGGAATGCAGCAGTCTTGCCAGGGCGATCGGAAAGCAAAAGTTGAGAAATATGTTGAAGTAATCCGCGTCGTTCTTTACTATATGATTGATATTTTCGTACATGTAGGGCGCTAGTACGCACAATGAGTACAAGCACGTCAAGGAAGTGTAAAAACAAAACAATATAAAGTTGCCCATATTTTGACGAAGTATGCAAGCGCCTAGAAAGAAGCAATGATGGTCCTTGAAGTGGAAGCACTTTCGGCAGAAGACGCAGTGTTGCGTCGGCTTGCACATGTAACTCTGACATCTCTCGCAATGCCAGAATCGATAAGTGGTATTGTGAGCCGGTGGTTGCGTATTATCGAACTGCTCGAACTTATGATGCTGAATCGTCACGCTGTACAAATCACTCTGTACCTCTTTGACTCTCATTGGATTTGATTTATAGCTGATGCTGTAAACTGAGTACCAGTTCAGATACACTTGCGTGCAGAGAAATATGAAGATTGGAGAAATCTTTTGATTGATGTAAATTGTAATCACAATAACGAGCATAGTGCATATTAATGTCACTAGTGGACAACATTTTTTAATGATCTTCAAACAAATTTTTATATGCTGACCCTGAGACATGATGTTTTACAATATATAAATATATATCTAATATTGTTACACACACAAGTATGATTTATGTGTATAAAAACATTACACATGTAGTTTCCTTTTTTTTACGCAATTCCTATTCTCTTCAAACATTTTATATATTTACGTTTTTCTATGTAAACACATATAACAGATGTTCTTGTTTATGCGTTGTGTTTGATTTTTGTGCTGAAAAGTTATTTTGTTTTTTGTTATTATAAATACTATTAACTCACACATGCGCATTGTATAAAATTATTAATATATACTAATCGCGTGTGTTTTGTACTTCTAACGTACAAAACAGATTTTTTTGTTTACTAACCTCTTAGTCATCACCTAACCTTTATAAATTCTCTTACATTAGTTTTATTGATCCGTTTGAATCTGAAAAAATAAAAACTACTTCCAAACTGAATAATCTTCTAGGATTTCTGACATATGCTTCTCATCGTTTAAATTCCTGTCATAATACGATCATTACCGTTCCTGACATACGGACCAGGATGTTCAACGTCACTTGTGTGCCACATGTGTGATCACATTGAAAATCATTAAACTACTTATAAATTATTGTATAAGTGTCAAAGAGAGAAATGTGCAGAACTCGCCAGTAATATTTATCAAGCTTGACTTTAAATTTCCAATGTTCCTCAAAAGATAAGTTTTATCAACACGCGGAATTTTTTTTTCTCGCTGACGATTCCATCACAGTGGCGTCATCCTTTGAACTTTTTGATTTATCGAACAGCCTTCGTAAAAAATGCACGACTGACGAAAAATACTGTAAAACATTAATTATAAATTAAACAATGTCATTTTAATAATGAGAATTTATATTTGTACATGTATGATGGTAAAAGATAAATTTTTATGAGAATAAAATATAGATTATTATATATTGGATCAGATATGACACTATCAACAAATGGCAATATATATACATATATTAATTTTATACATATATTTATTCTCACTATAAAAAACAGCTAACTTTATATAATTCACGTGCTTACAACATATAAACAAAGTACTAGAAACACATCACAAAACAATGCAGATCTATGTGTGTTACAAATATACATACACAAGTAATAAAATAAAAATTAAGCGAGAAAAACAATTACATTTTTAATTACAAAGACTATTATGTATGTCTCTTTGTCATTGTTATACAAATAATGAAATCCTCAGTACAATACGTACAGAAATCTTTCTCTTAGAAAAAATACTATAATTATCGAGACCCTTGTTTTACATGTGTATGACAGTCTAAACATACCTAAAACTCAAGTAAAATATATAAACAAATAATATATTGGTCTTTGAATTCGCTCATCTTATATCAATTACCTCTCCTCTTCTGGAGATATAAACAAACACTTCTTCTTTTCTCCCTTTCCATTAGTTCTTTTTTAGTTGCACATCTCTTCTTGTTTCAATATAAGTTTTTTTTACATATCGTACATGCGTGTAAAATTATAAATGTGTATATAATAATTATTATGCTCCTCGCGATTTTTGTACATTTGTGTAAATAACAACGGTTAATATATATTGAGTATAACACTCTTATACGAAAATATCGCTAAAGTAGTTTATAACAATTATATAAATACTTAATAATAATTAAAATGTAATACAAATATAACACAGAACAAATTCTAAAAGAAAATTATACAAAGACATGTGAAAAAGACCAGCTTGATAATCCGATAAGGATGGAAATTTAAACGTACAATTACACTCGTAGCGTATGCGTTACATATTATACGCATTATCTTTCATGAGAAACACTTCAATTAGTACGTATTGCAAGTCCTAATCATTATTATGCAGAAATTGGAAACGTAATTTATATAAATAAATTGTGCATATGTCTAAAGTCACATGTATCGTATTTTGTACTTCTTTTTGTATAATTAAAAAAAAAAAAAAAAGAGGAATAAGTACATGCGACAAAGCTACAGCTTACAAATACATTTCTATATAAGGAAATAATTTGCTATATAAAATCGTGTAAAACTATATAAATATGTCGTATTGTATGATTGACGCGCGCGATTTACCAAAATAGATTGTAACGATATGATGCGACAGTGATATAATTTCAAAACTCTCAACAATGGAAAATGTAAAAAATATGCTTTTAGGACCCTCATGATATACATATATATATATATATACAGGGTGTCCCATTTTATTTGTGTCAAATCAACATTCTCTAAAAAAACGGTAGTTTACTTCGAAAAAAATTGGTGTAACAGTCAGCTATTAAAGTGTAGCCTACTACAAATCCATTCATTAATCCATAAGCTACAAGACCATTGATGTTGATGCAGTATTTACTTATAAGCCAATTCTGATTCTGATTTGACCAATAACGGACATTATGGCAATTTACTCTTGATCTTAATCATTAAAATTAATTTTATCTAAAACCATTACGTATAAACAAAAATTTGAGATCCCGATTTATTTGTCGACTAGCTCACTAATAAAAACGCAGTCTACGACAATGGTCCTTAATTCTTGTCGCAAAGGCGGAATAGATGGAATTTATGATCTCAAATATCACAATGCAAATGAACGTGGCACATGAAGACGTTCAAATTTATATTGCATAAGAATGGGTATTTGTATGAGGTTTTAATGTGACAATTTCTAACACACTTGACGTCGACAACGACGCTGTTTTTTACTACTTTATTTTTTGAACACAACGTTTAATTGGATTATGATCTGGATTCTTCTTTTTGGATGTGTAGACGCGAGCGTGTGTATCGAAAATTATTATTACTCGTAAGCAAACAATCATGTCTAATTAATTCGAAACTCAAACAAATCAGCATCACCTGTTCTCATTGATAGCTTATATAATTTTTGTCTGATACAATATTATTTTACAGTGAAACCTCGTTTACCCGAACCGATCGGGGGACAAAATAATTTGAATAGTTCGAGACCCAAACTCTATTATACGGACTCTCGGTTCGTAATTGAAGTTGAGCCTCAAGTTGTTTCGGATAAAGAAATTCGAATAAACAAGGAGGTTCTACTGTAATATTTTTTTTTTATATTTTTCTGTATCTTTTTCGTATTCTTCGAAATGTTCGCCGATTAAAATGGGACATCCTGTACATATACTCTATATTACGCGATCATGTCACAGTAGTACGCATTGCTCAATCGCGACGTCATTGACTGCCTTTGATGAAGCATTTTTATATTACAGTTTTCTTTTTAAATCTTGACTCTTTTATTACTCTGTTATTACTCTGTTCATAACTGCTAAAGACTAATTTAACGATATTCCTGTATAAGAGTAGTATGCTTCACCGTAGTTCACCAATTGGCGCATTTTGCGACCATAATTCATCTATAAATCTGTATAAAGCATCGCTAACAGCTACCTGTAACAGAAAATTACAAGATATGTGTCAAATTACAAGATATATGCAGATATATATAACAAAAATCGCCTTATTTTGCAAAATAACAAGTTTTTAATCCAGTTACACCATGAGAAATCTATATCTTTTTAATAATTTAATTTTTGTTATTTGGAAGTTTTTACAAAGTATTCTAGAATCGTTTGATCTCACCTTATATGGTGTGGGATTTAGATATCTTTTATGATCGTTACGCAACGTATTGAGAGATTCTTGTACTTTGTTACGAATTTCTTGCAATGTGGGTAGTGGTTGACACAGTTTGCCGTCCTTCCAATACATCTGCAATTAACAAGCAAGTTGTCTTAATAAGACATTGCTTTTTGTACAGTATAATCCATGTACTGTTACTATGTAAATGTATGTATGCATATATGTAAATCTATTGCAACGGTGATCACTGATATGTAAAACAGTCACTATATTGTATCTTACTTAGATCAAAACAACACGAAAAGTGCACGCAATATAACATAAATTATACCTTGAGTAAAGGTTCCACTCGAGATGGTGTAACGTTAGCCCTTTTTGTTTGCTGAAACGGATGCCTACAAAGAACCGTTTTCATCACTTGCGGTGATTCTTCGGTCGTTTTTTGCAAAAGATCAATCAACGCGTAACCATCTGATCCGTATAATCTATAGGCATCCTTCCTGCCCGGTATCGTGACTTTTCCGACCTCTTGACTGAGCTTGATTCTCGGCTCGCCATTGATCTCTACCATTTTATAGACACAACCCAGTGCTGGTTGCCTCTGACACGTCACAAGATGCGTACCAATCCCGAAGCAATCGATTTTGTGGTTCTAGAAAATATTTACACCCGGTTACGACAACATCCGTCAATTAACATTCACGATTCGCAAATCTACTCGCACCTTTACCTGCTCGTTCAGGCTTATTATGGTCTCTTCGTTGATATCATTTGACGCGCAAATCGTCATTTTTCCGAACCACGGTATGTTGTACTTGACGGCAAGTTTTTCGAAGGTGTCCCTTGCTATGTTACTGAGATACGCCAGATCGCCACTGTCGATTCTGATTCCAATAGCTTGGTACCCCAAGTCGTTCAAAGCTAACGCTACAGCGCAGAAGTTTAAGAGACCACTCCTATTCGTAACATATACATACATATTTGTGAAACCAGATAAGTAAAATAGGTCAATGATAGATCATCAAATGATTATGTGTCAATATAGTATGAATATCACGATCAGCGTTTTGGTTGCTAATATATTTGCGTTTTTGTGATATGTCCCTCTTGCACAACAATTTAGATATTTTAACATTTTAGCACATAAAAAATTGGCAGCAAAAGTTTCTAGTTCAAAAATATACGTAAGCGATTGTGTGTGTGTGTGTGTGTGTGTGTGTGTGTGTGTGTGTCAAAACACATGAATGTGCCCATATTTGTTGATACAATAGTAAAGGGCAGAATTGGGATGGGCACTATATAAGATAACAAATGTAACTAACAACTAGATTCTAGCGACAAATAAATCTTGACATTTCAATTCTAGCTGGCATGTCATGAGAATAAAATGATCTTGCAATTGTTGCCTATTTTACAGAATAATTTTCCTAGTATTATTCTCTTCAAATAAAAAAGGCATAACAAGAAAAAAGCTGACATTATTACTCTTTAAAAACTGACAGTATTACTTTTTAATTGTTGAACAAATATTTATGAACTTTATATACATATAAGTCAATTAAAAAGTAAGATCTTAGGAAGAGCCGGATAGAGAGGTAATGGTCCAAAGTATTATTTTTCCAGCTTAATACCGTTTATTAAAACGTTTCGACCGTTGCTGCAGTCGATAGAATTTAAATAGGTAAAAATTTGAAATTTTTAGATATTTCATGTCAAACAGTAACACCAAAATAAGAAATTATGGATAATTTACAGAGTATTTGAATGCGCTGTGATGTCATCTGTCACTGTCTAAATTGAATGTAATTGTTAAATGGAATAAAATACTTAGCTATAGTCACAAAAAAAAAAAGACATTAAAACTGTCCGAAGTAAAAATTCTTTTCAATATCAATGATTAATAATCAGTATTAATTGATAACGTGTGTCTAAACAGTTATTCCACACCAATTGTGTAACAGTTCCTTTGACAATATTTTAGATCACCAGATAAACTGTAAATAACATGTTTTGCAATAACAGGAATAAGCATGACCAACCGTCAGAATCAAAACAGATAACAAATATTTGAAGTTCTTTAAATCTCTTTATCAAAGACAGATAAACGTCATCCAATATCGCTCCGCTAATTAAGGTCATTGACTTTTTTTACATGCTTTTTTTACAATATCTCGGATATCAAACGTTGTATTGATGTTCTTCGTCTACAAGTCTTATAAAAAATGATTAGTTCAAGAATCTTTTATCTTTCATTTCCACACTGTTTGACATAAAATATCTAGAAATTTCTAATTTTTATCTTATTGTCGTATTATAAAAATTGAGGACGACCACAACGACGAAATGTTTTAGTAAACTGTTGTATAAAACTAAGAACATATTTGGACTAATATCTTTCTGTCTGGTTTTCTTCCTGGCTTTACTTTTTACTGACTAAATATTTAAAAAATCTCGTCTTACTCAATTTATATATATTTCTTTTTTTATTTATCAGAGATTTTGAAACTACAAATTTAGGTTTAATTATTAATTCTATAAAAGTATTTACAAAAACTGATTTATATCAATTATGACACTGTAAAACAATAATATACAGTTTTTCATAAAGCAAAAATGACAAATGAATATTGGAAGAAAAACGAAATTTTATTCTGCAAAACAGGCAAACGAAGTGATATCGTACCTCACATAGAGCTCGCCCAATTCGCCTCGTCTTAAAAAGCCATTCTTGTGTAGTTGCGAAGTTGGTTCTGATATAAATGGGTTGTTTCTCACGCCACTTTGAGCGTGTGTATTGGACCCGTTAGTTAGAAGTTTATTCTTTACATTTAGGCTAGCCACTTGTGCCTGCCCCTTGGCTGACGCTTCAATGCTACAAACACACTCCTGTTAGGCTACGGTGTGCATACCGCGTGACGTCATGTCTGCTCGCGATACCGCTGACGCAAGACTAAATTTACGAAGTTACCAATAAAATCAAATAAGAAATATACTTCTGTCTCATTGAAGTATAAATTTAACTTCAATATGTGACAACTGTGCTTTTTATTTAAATAGACGAGAAAATGACACGCAAAAAATAGAAATGTTAATGACACGCAAAAAATAGAAATGTTAATTAAAAACACTTCTTTGTAATCACATACTGTGCGCTATTTGTATTTTGAATGCCAATACACTCGCTATTCTTGAGCAAAAATTAAACTTTAAATATTCTGTGCATGTGCGTAGCGTGACCATAAATACAGGACATTTATATATTAGCGGTAATTTGTTTGTATGCAATAAGCTATGTTTCAAAATATACGTGCAATATAATTTAAGAGATTGCTTTTGCTTCGTATTTTGAATTTATCGAGAAATCCCCTTGAGAGTTTTATTTATCATTGTTATATATCTTGTACTTTTTATGCTATACAAACGTTATAATTATCAATAAATTTTATATAGACGCACTATATATTATACTATATGATAAAAGTATATCAATTTATATGAGTCTATCTACACCAAAAATAAAACTTAATCAACACAAATAAAATATTTCGCGCACAAATTTTTAACATTAACATTAAATTAACTTGAACGTACGTCGAAAGAAATATAATCAGAGCTACACATTTTCTTTAGAAAACAAACTTTCTATTTAAATAAAGATTGGAATATTGAACTATGTGTGCGACACAAAGTACCTTTTAACGTCATACGTGTCGACGAGAGCGGCGAATCTTTCTGGGAAAGCAACAGCGTAACTGATAAGAGCTGCTAATTCTCCGCTGGACGCCTGTGAGGCTAGAGCTCCCAAATCGTCGGCGATAGTCTCACGATGCTTGAAAGCAAGTTCCAATAAATCTAGAGCATCGCCCGTCTCTTTGTGCTCCAACGTCTGCGAGAGAAATGGGTCAATATTGTTTTTTCTTTCGTTTATTCTCCCTAAAGAATATTGATGTTTATTTTTAATCGATAAAGAGAGAAACGAGAATTCTCGTCAAACGTGCTTACTTTTCCTCGCAAATCGCCAAAACCGGTGAAAGATGTGATGTACGCGTGTGCATGCGTGCCGCATACAGGTATGTTAAACAATTTTCCAGCCAACACATTACTAGTTCCATCAAATCCACCTGTAACATTGTAAACCATTTTAAATTTAATTTTCTCATAATTTTATTTTTTTATTTCATTTCTATTTTATTTTCATTTTGTGCGATACGCTATTAAATTTTGTCAATATTTATTATATAGTCTACACAAGAAACATATTCATTCTATATTTATTGTTAGTATATAGTATATACATATATGTAAGTGTATATACGTCACATGACCTCCTAAACTGTTACTCATTATCTAGGCAGTACCACCTGGTACTGAATGGAACAGTATTGATTGATTCAACAAAATTGTTAAGTATAGTGTAAGGGTGATAAAGTGGTACCAGACACCTGTCTATCATTTACTGCAATGTATTATATTGCGATGAAGTGTACATATATAATTCTGTAAGCTTTCGATATTTCAATTAGATTTAATATAACGTGAAAATCGGTTCAGGATTATAAATTTCCACATAAATATATAAGAACTATTTATATTTTATTAGCAATCTAATACTTAGTAAATAATATATTATAGCAAAAATTACATTTTTTTACTTTCTATATTGCGCATCTTCATAGTTCAAATCATTACAATCTATTGCACAATTCTTATAGAAAATTTTTTGAACGAAATGATAATTTATTGTGTCTATAATAAACTCAGGAATCATTTTAATTTAAGCTTAAAATAAAACAATTGCACATCTGATAGAATTCATCTATATTGACATTGATTTCAATAAGAAGCAAACATATATATGTACAATAATAATAAACAAATGAGATATTTACCAACATAGCTGTATTTAGATGCGCTTAATCCTCCATCGGGACCTTGTGCTCTTCGAAGACCGAATTCTAGTAATCGTATGTTCTTTCCGGCAGCCATGCGATACCTTGCCGCATTAGTAGCCATTAAGCTTGCGTAATTCACCAGTGTTAATAGAGTTGTTTCTAGAAGCTGTACCATTATTAGCGGTCCTTCCACTCTTATCAATGGAACTCTGTAACAGAAAAACACATTTAAATACACCACATCGAAATATTTTTTCTTTCATTAAGACTAAAATTAATTCTCTCTCTACCTTGGAAATACAACAGATCCTTCATCTATAGCATATATTGTAACATCTCTTGCGGTAAGACTCTGCAGATAATCGAAGAATTTTTGGTCTACCATAGGCATAGTTGATTTCAGGTACTCGATATCTGCAGTACGAAACTAATATAATTTGTTTACAAGAATTTTGAAATAAGTAACAAGTAGCTTTTTGTGCTATACAAACCACTTGGAGAATAATGGAATTTATTCAAAAACTTTATGCATTCCTCAAGACCGGCAAAGATTGTGAATTCTCCTTGGAAGGGATTTTTACGGAAGAATAAATCAAACACAGCACAGTCATTCATTTTGCCGCTCTTCCAATAAGCATAAGCCATTGTTATCTGATACAAATCTGAAAGCAAACATTGTTCTTCATAAAGTATATCACATTCTACACTTGTAACGTATTCATCATAACAAATAGATTTTTATTAGCACTTGAAAAGACTCTGTTTTACTTTTTAAATAATAATAATATATATATGCGGTTTATAAAGATAAACCGCATATATATATTTACCACATGTTTCTTCATGCATGTAAGTAAATAATAAATATATGTATATTATACTTGACTTATATATTTAAATTGTCAACTAAGATTTTGTTATTGACAAATGGATTAAAAAAAAAAAAAATATAAAAATCACTCGCGATCGCGATCTATATCACGCGTCCAGAACATATACGTGCTGTTTAAAAACATATTTACATATAAAAATATCTATTCAATAAAAACATTGAAGACTGTGAGAAACCAACACGGAGCATGATGTAATTAAAGGATACGAACGAAAGTGAAACGTGACGTGCCTCACGTACCTGTCAACAGCGGCTGAACCACGCCGTTTTGCCGCGAATTGCAGCACGTTCTGCCATCCTCATCCGTTGACATCTTGCTCCGAAGTTGATGGACAACGGCTACTTTACGAGAATTCACTGCGAGTGCTGAAAATCTATTGATATATATGTCACGCGAACTATGTCTAGATTTTTAGTATTGAAAGGCAATATAACGCGAAACGCGCAATCAAGCAATCGGTCTCATTGCACATTCGCTGTGTCATTAGTCTCTCTATTTCTCTTTTTATCTTTCGTCTTTCTGATGCTTATCTCAGTTGTACTTTGCACTATTCTCATATACACTCTATAAAACAGAGCGCGCGTTACAACAGATTTGCCGTGCAAGTAACCTTCACCGAATTCACTTTCTCTATGTAGTACAGAAGAAAAGTACATGTACAACAACAATCCAACGCAGTCATCGAATCATCACAATGCTCTCGTCATTTGCATATCATGATATAAAGATTCTTCCACGCCGATATACATCCTCGATCTCAAACGAGCGCTTGACCTGACGGGGTCAATTGATTCAAGTCGAGAAACGAGTAGCGAATAAAATAAATATAAAGTATACGCGTTTGTGTGTTAGAAAGAGAGAGAGAGAGAGAGAGAGAGAGAGAGAAAGAGAGAGAAAGAGAACGAGACCATAAAGTGAGACACAAACCTCGCTGCCGATTCCGGCGATGATCGCACTATCGCGACAACAACGCCGACGTGCTAACATCAACTGGCGTTCCCCGACGCGAATCGCGGTGTAATATACAATCGGCCGCGGGAATCGATAGGGAATGTTTCAAGGACGTTCGGCGCCGTTGGCACGGCCTGTTACCCTCGCCGCCAATCACCGCGCCGTCTCCGTCGGAAATCAACTAGACGTTCGCGCGTTCGAGCAAAGATTCTCGTTTCTTCCCGCGTTGAATATGATTTTTTTAAAAAAATTGTTCATTAGGAGAGAGAGAGAAAGAGCGTGCGTACACATGCCGCGGCGATATCAAATTATCTTCTTATTAGGAGAAAGTTAATCGAGTTCTTCGGAAAGTTATTTTCAGCGATGTATGTAAGAATCTTAAAAAATTATCTTCTCTTCTTTTTTTTGTCTTCTTTTTAAGAGAAAGTCATTCGAGTTCTTTGGAAAGTTCTTTTCTAAGCAATGTATAGGACAATATATTTTTCAATAAACATTTTACACTGTCGGTTCTGAAACGAGAGTAGATCTAAAGATATGTTTTGAATTTTATACAAAAGACGCGCGTGGAAACTAAAACAAATATTTTTTTCTTAATTTCTCTTTGTTTTTCTTTGTTTTAAAGTGTGAGATGTTCAATTAATTTGTAATTTAAAAAGTCAAACAAATGTAATTTGCGATTTAAAAAAAACATTTTTGTTTAATTGTTGATTTTTCACATTAGGAATATTCCATTCATGTGGAATTGTCACATATATATATATATTTTTTTTTTTTCTAGTAGCTGCGTCTCTGCTCTTACACGTAAATACACAGTAAAAAAAAGGTAATTTTAACATTTTTTGCATGTTTCAGGAAGTCCATTCTAAATTTTACTTTAAAATAACTCATTCGTTGCGAGTCACTTATTGACAAACTAGTAAAATCAAATACTTGACACAATATTTTACATTTATATTTGTTATTTTGACCGTAAGCGTGATGTAAAAATAACATATAAGATAATTAAAACTACACAAAACAGTAGTTACAGTAACTCGTAAAAAATGTTAATAAAACATTTTAGTTTGTACAATGTGGGCAAAGATTTAAAAAATTTTTTTAGTATGTTAAATTGACTTCGAGACATCTAGATTAATTGAAATCATTGTGTTAAAAGCACTTAAACAATATTTCATTTTTAAATGACATGCAAAAAATGTTAATTTGTGAAGTTAACATAAATTTAACACGTGAAAAGATTTAAAAAAATAATAACATATCAGTATTATGTTAATTTTACATTGAAGTAATAATCAAAACGTCGTAAAACATAAGAAAAGTTCTACATTTTGATGCACAATTTTTTACTGTGTAAGTGACGACTATCGTACTTATGTAGGCGCGTGTATCATCTTTATGTAACAGTCGAGATAACGCGTTGCTTCTCGAACCTAATGTTTAAAGGTCATCTGTTATTAACGCAATAACATGCCACATTTAAGAGGATTTAAACTGACGATTTTAAAAACATACAACAATTGCGACAATTGCGTGCGCGCGCGCGCAATCTTTTAATACGTAACCCGTTAAGATAATCGCAGCAAAGTAATGTGCGAAAGTTTGAGCGAGAAATTTTCTTCGTTGTTCGCGAGTACGCAGCGCGCAATTCGGTTCGTTGAATAGAGTCTGTTACTTGTGCTACATCGTGCTCCGCTGAAGAAGATATAAATATATACAAGCTCTCATCTTCTCTAGCGCTTGTAAATAGACTTGTTGTATACGTGGAATATCATCGGATCTATCCGTGTGTCTCACTTCTGTATTTCTAATCCTCTGCGCGAATGTTGTATTTATTTCCACAAATACAAATATACATATGTGTTTATATACTAGATAAGTGAACGTTAAGAACAACGAAGGACAAATGTATATTTTACGAGTTAAAACTTCGCAATGTGTGACTCACTCTTTCCAATTACTGAAAATGCTGCGACATTAGAACTTTTGACAAATTCAGCATTGCACATAATTGTTGAATTACAGCATTGCAGGGAAAGAAAAACTTGTTAAATCGACCGTATCTCTCGTGTTGATATACAATATCTATGTACGATATGATATATGTTGTTATATAATTCGCAGTTTCTTCTAAAGTGATATAAACAACAGCGTGTACATATACCGCGCGCGAATCTTCAAGAATCGCGGATCAAACACCGCGGCGAGGTAAGTAGGCAATAACAGTGCCGCCTGTACGTTTCCAGCGCGATAATTAGCTAATAAGTTCGACTAAACAGACATATCGTTAGGGGCAACACGTTACCGCAACCGACGATCGACGCACTGCGGCAATTCTTTTCTTCGTCTTTTGAGAGATACGCGAATAAAAAAAAAACAAAAAAAAAACAAAAAGAAAGAGACGAAGAAGCTTTCCGAGTTCGACCGAAATTTATGCGATGAAGAAAAAAAAGTGTAGGAGCAGCAGGATTTCACTTTGCAAACCGCGTGTTATTTCTCCCACGAGGAAACGCTACGTTATCGTTAAGTAAAGAAGAAGCTTCAGAGAACTTCGTCCCGATGAATCAAATGTCTCTGCGCCAAGTACACGCGCCACTCGAATGTGCTCTTTCTCTCTCTCTCTCTCTCACATATATATATATATATATATATAATAAATCCTTCACAAACTCAATTTCTTATCTTTCTAACAAAATGTATTTTACACATAACTCTAAAAACATTTGTTATATTGTACTATATAAAAATCTGTCCCTACAAAAACTATTCTACAAAAAACTAATATCAAAAAAGTGGCGCCAAGTGAAATTGTTACATACACCACATACGTTACACATTATTACATTGTTGTAAACTATAAACTTAAAATACCAAGTAACTGTGAATGAATGTTGTGTGCGTGTGTGTGTGTGTGTACACTAGTATATTATAAAAATATTTTATATAAATCTCTAAATATCTAAAATCTAAAACACAGAGAGAGGACTTATATATGTACAAGATGCTTCAGAAATAGGTGACCAAAACTTTGACATCGTATTCTACTCTTCTTAAAGATAAAAAGAAGGTGATATACTATAAACATGGATTTGAAAATCTCTTACTTTTTGAGATGTAAACGCTTCTTGTTTGTGAGATTATATTTTAGAAATTCTTGTAACTTATTCGAAGACATTGTTGAAAACGGATTTCCTGAAAACAACAAGCTGCTTCCAATATGGGTGATTTGCTTTATCAATATATTTACTAAAATTAAGAAAAAGTGGTGACAGTTCTAAGTGTGATACCTATGATCTTTGTAAAATTTCGAGGTAAACAAAGATCGTTTCTATCTAAAAAAGAAAGGAAGACTTCCCGAAACCTATGTGTTTAAAAATATAATTCTTTTTTCACTCTTAGAGAGAGTAGAATACCAAAGCTTCGCCGCGCCTATTTCTGAAACACTCTGTATATTAAATATATCTTACCATACATTATTGAGAAAACTCAACACATTAGACATTGCAAATGACAAATAGCACAAAAGAAAAAGCTTAATTGAAATAAAAGATTTGTCATGCAAAAAACTTAGTGTGTTGCCGAACTTCTTACAAGTTTCTATAAAAACTCCAAGTGTGCCTAATCGGATCCGTTATTTAAAAAAATTCTGCAGCGCTAAATTTACATTGATATTGTTTTTGTTTGACGAGTATTCTCTGTATTTTCCTCGTTTACCAACTGTTATAAACTATCTGTCGGTATTGTTAATGATTTACTGTCGCGTCTCTCGCGTCTTGTTTGTTGCTCGCCATTTATAGAATCGTTGATGATAAAAGTTATAAAAAAAAGTTATAAAAGTTTATGTATTGTATTCCTCATCAAATGGTGCAAGTAGGTACGAGCTCTTTATCTGTTAGATATGAGTTTCTTAGAATCAATGACGTTAGATTTATGAGACTTTGAGTTATCTGCCGCAGAAATTGCGTTTCTCGCGTCTGACGGATAGAACTGGCTAATTATGTCCTCGCTCTACGCTTGCCAATATGACGTAAAAGTGATTTAAGTGAGCGACGTTGTCTGCTGATACGCAACACGGATTGGTCATTGAACCTGCAATTTTATTTAAGTATTAATCGATCACAATTTAATTTGCCGTTCTTTGTTCACGATTGCTTTGTAATTCTGTGTTCCGTTAGAAGGAGAGAGCGCAAACGAGAAAGAGAGAAAGAGAGAGAGAGAGAGAGAGAGAGAGAGAGAGAGAGAGAGAGAGAGAACATATATTACTACTTATACAAAAAAAAATATTCATGACATACAGTCTAAAAATACAAATAGTAAAAATGATAAAATTAATAAAACTTCGTACACCACATATTTACGATAATAAAATAACTTTTGGAGTAAAAAATATATTATTTTACAAAATATGTAGAAATTAAGTCAGCTTTTACCTGTTCAGTTTTCATTCGTAATGCGCGTATATTTTTTGCATGTGCACGTACATATCCAGATAACTAAAACTGAATAAGCATATTTTGCAAAGTCTGCAATGACACATTATGTCGGTAGAATGCAGCCATCGGACACGATCTGTTATCTCAACTAGTGTCGACGGAAAAGCAGAAAAAAAAAAGAGAATATAAACGTGTTTTACACCGCGATGCAAATATTGTTGCGTCAATCGGGCAGAACTTGCTGAAATAAATGTAGCAGATTCGAAGCATAACGTGTTTATATTGTCTTCATTTATTTCTATATTTTTCGTTGTGTTGCATTTCCTTGCATTTCCGTGCCTATGCAATTCGCTCATGTGAGGACAGAGCTGAGTGGAATCTGCGTGCTGGCATACTGCTATCATTTGACTATCCGGGATATGTAATACACACTTGTTTACGAGAGTCAATTTCCTTGGGAGAATTGTTTGCCGGTAATCAGTGTTAACTTTCCGCGACGCAGAGGATTCTGAAATTGCCATGATCAAGAATATTTTCGATGTGTCGCAATTCTAGGTTCTTAAATTAGCTGCGATAACGTAACTGTATATTTTATCTTATTTTGTTTGTTTTTTATTACAAACAAAAGATTTATTTGTTTGCGCGAAGATATATATTATGTCGATGTTGCGTTTATCATCTCTTGTCTCGAACGCGTTTCAAATATACTCATGTGAGATTGAAATGTGTTATTTACGCGTGTCGATAAAACGTATCGTTCCACTCTGTACTTTGTCTCTTTCCCCCGGAAACAATGATACGTTTGTTTGAAATCAAATTGCATGAGTATTATTATTATTATTTTTTTTTTTTCATATTCTTAATTACAATCGTTACGTTTCTTTCTCCATAATACACACGTGTGTTGGTTTAACGACACTAATTTTTCTACACAGACGTAAAAAGTGCGGGATCGCATCTGGTTCGACTCATTTTATACAACGAAAACTTTTATTTTGTATACATACGTCACAAATTGATGGTATATTCCGCGCTAATTATATAACTCTACAAAATGATCCTCTCTCCGTCTACTATTTGTCGGCTGCTGAGTTACACGCTACGCTTAAAATTCTTCTGCGTTACACAACTGGCACTTCTGAAATATCGGTATAATCAGCGATTAAACGCGCGCTAATCTCGATTACACTGGAGCTGGAGTGTTTCGTTTAGAAAAATACTCAATTTTTGATTCTCTAAGATCTAAGATGCAAGAATTAATTATGAGCCGTGAACATATGGAATTTTCTTTTGCCTTGGATGTGCTTTTTTTCTCTCTGTCTCAAAAATTGATTATTTTCTTCTTTTTTTTTATAACCACTATTTATTGTTGTTTATACTTCTATATATATATATTATATAATATGTATATAATATATGTCGGTAAGCGTCTGGAAAAAACGTAATCGCAAAATACACGCTTGTATCTCTATGAGCTAATACTGTATTAATATTGTGGTTACACATGTGATCTCTCTCTCTCTCTTTCTCTCTGTGATACATGGTACGCTACTTGTATTGTTTATGTACTGCGACTGACGTACTGTTGTGTAACTTCCTTTTTTTCCTTTTTTTTGGCCTATATGCTTTCTATTTGTGGCATCGCGGTGTTTTCAGCACGTGTGCGAATGTATACGGAAGCACAGACTAGTATCTACGTTTTACGCAAAAACTAATTAACTAACTTAATTATATAGTTTCCTAAAACTACTCAGACTTCTGTGTAACATTTATCTCATATATATATATATATATACATATATATATATATATATATGTATATGTATATGTATATATATATATATATATCTTGCTTATAAGAATAACGTCGTGATCGTATTTGTGATATCGACTACAGCGTCTCTACAGGCTGATTAATCGATATAATTAATACTGCGAAGACTAGAATCGGACATGTGACGTTTTACGGTTTTGTGTTTCGTCCTTAAAGGGGGGTTTTTTTTTCCAAAGGTTTTCTCCTCATCTTACTATCTAATTTGACACACAATTTGCGTATACAGTCTTAACATTTATGATGATGTTCGTATTGTGCTAAAAATATGTAATAGACAAAATCTGTTTTCTTTTCACGAATTTTGTTCTTGTTTGGTCGATATATATATGTCCCGTATAAAGTTCCCTGTGAAATATCTTCTTGATCGCTACAAGTAAAATAATATTTGGTTTTTTTTTTTTTTTTTAGAATTCTCGTCACTGTGTTTGAATAACGCTAGATCAAGTATAATCTAAAACTCGCAAAATGTAATATAATGTTATTAAATATATAGACACACACACACACACACATACTCTCTCTCTCTCTCTTTTTTCTCTTTCACTCACTCATACGTAAATTATGTATATACAAAGGCCTTTAATAATTAACTTCGCGAAAGAGGAAGAAGCTTCCACTGATCATATTATAGAAACTTTCCTACTGCTGCAGCTGGCGGATAATTGACGGCGATTCCTTTCCCTCTCGCGAAGCGAATTACTAAAAGTTTGTTTATACACATTATATAGTTGTAAATTTCATAACCAGTACAAAAACAATCAGTACCACAAACAATTATCACAGAGTTTTATTTATTTAAGGTAACATTATATATGTACGTATATATATAGAGAAAGTATTTGCAAAGTTAATTTCTTGATATATATATTCTTTCCTGTCACAAATCTGTTTTAACAAGAATACATAAAGAATAAAAATTATATTATATTTATTGACTGTTATCTCTTAAATATATTTTGAAAAACAAAAAGTTTTTCTTTGTTTCTAAAACAAGTTATACTTATTACATATACTATATTTCTAAACGTTAGAAAAAAATGATAGAAATAAATATGCATAAAATGGCAGTGTAAGCTTTTCATCACAAAAAAGATAAACATTATAAAAGAGAAATCACGAGGCAAAACTTATATTATTTTTGAACATATATATAATCCGAATAAAAATGCTTAACTAATTTAAATAATATCTATATATGCACTCTCCTAAAAATACAATTCTCTCAACCATTATTTTCTTTCTATTATTAACATAATGTATGTAACTTGCTAAGTGTTTCGAAAAGAAGACTAGAAACGTGTTAATACTTGAATATATATCTGGCTATGAAATTTTCAACTAATTTTCCCTATTTTCTCACTGCAGTAAAGCTTCATCGCTAAATCCACTGATAACGAATGAAAAGTTTACCAACACTTAGATCAATGAACATTCGTATCAGAAAGAGAAACATACGCGTTCAATAAATCATTAACAAAGTATACAGTACCAACAACAACGTGTTTAACGCTAAATGTATATAAATAAGAGTAATAAAGCATACAAAAATTTTTCCGCTCTCGTACATTTTAGCACCGTTACTTTCTGGAAATAAAGTTTACATTCTTACAGATAATACGTGATTAATATGTCACTTTCTATCACTTTCGTCGACAGAACATGTTTTATTCAAGATGTATTTTTTTTTCTTTTTTACGACCAGTCCTCGTACTGACTGTCCACGGTTCATCTCATTAGATCCGCCGCTCTCTGTCGGTCTCGATGAACTTCTCGCGGGTGCATCCTTTTGCGATGCGAAAAACAGTTGCCAGAGCTCGCGAAAGCTTTCGGACAGTAAGGGCACTGATAAGGCCTCGCACCTGTGTGCTGATTTATGTGGAATTTCAAATCCTGATTTCGCTTGAATGTCTTGTCACAAAGCGGACACGCGTGCGGTCGCAGATCCGAGTGTGTTATACTATGAGCGCGTAATGTCGAATTCGTCGGATACACTCTGCCGCATACATTACACGGGAATTGTATGCCACCGTGATACTCCTTGTGTCTGAACAGATTCTTCTGCGTCTTGAAGCTGTAAAGAATCAAATTTTTCTTAATCAAAGAAGATACATAAATGCGATTAGTATTTTATGAAAAAAGTAAAATTATAGATAATGTATTAAAGTGTGTATATATTGTACATTTAAATTAAATAAAATAAAATAATTAAGTCAATTCTTTTATATGAAGTTTTAATCTAACAATATCTTAATATTATCATTTTATAATATTTTAACATATAGTTTAGTTAAATTTTATGTGTGCCAAAGAAATTATTATAAATTACATATGTGCGCGCGCGTGTGTGTGTATCCAGCAGCAATACAAACATACATTCTTCCACATATGTCGCAGCCGTACTTTCCCTTAGGCCTGTGGGTTTCTAAATGCACTTTCAAGTTTCCTTTCGTGGAAATTTTTTTACTGCAGATTGGACAGATAAAGTTGGACGAATTGTCATCATGTTCCTTTACAAGATTAGGATTGGTGTGAAGCACACCGTTCGTGGAAAAAACGTGCTGAGATCGTAAAATAGGTTTCCCGTCGAATTTTCTCCCCTTAGGTAAATGCGACCACAAGTGATTTTGCAAGCCGATCTGTGATATAAAAGATCGGTCACATATTGTACATTCGTGTCTTGGTTTCGCTGCATGCACAGACTCAGTTTTTTCACCGTTCTCGTATATTTTAGCCTCACTTTCATCCTTCCTTTCTTCCTCCTCCGCTTCAGTGTCTCTAAACAAACAAGTAGGTTTGCGTGTTGAACAAGTTATCTATATACAACAAGCAATACGATCTCGAAACAACTTTTATGTACGTCAACATAAAAATTTCCTACCTATTGTGTAAATATAAAGAATCCAATGAATGCGTCTTTATTATCTCTTCCTCATTGTCGGAGGAATCTGAAGCTTCTGATGCGGATTGTTCCATAGCACACTGTAAAAACAACATCGGATCTACCTTCACTTCCATTTCCTCTGTGCTTGGCGTGTGGCACTTATCCTCTTGGGAATTCGACTCTGGTGGTCCCTGTGGTTCGTCTTCAGTTAAAATTTCTATTGTACCCTGTGTACACAACACAGCAATGATATAACTTGGCACACATGATAAAAACAGAGATGTCAATTTCAAAGCAAATCCAACCATCACCAATACGCACCTTTGTCAATATAGAATGTAACAATCCTCGGTCTTCTATCTTTTTTACAGTATTTTGTGCATTCTTAATAATCTGCATCTCCTCATCCGGTACGGAATTTGTATTGTCAACGTTAGAAAAGAGCTGCAATTTTAATCTTTCTTGGGTACGGTATGCCATCATTGCAAAACGATGGACACCCTCCAGTCTCCTAACGCATATAGAGCAGACCATTTTTGAAAATTTGTCTTCCGAAGTTATCTGAAAAACACGTAAATATTAGTATGCAGCTTTGAAACGTGTACACTTCCAAAATATAAGCAAATAATTGTTGAATTGTTATATATACTTTTTTACTTATGTTCACGTACTTAATAATTATATATATTTCTTAGTTTGTACATTTTCTATTTATTTTTTTATGAAAATAGATATAAACAATTTCAGAGTTCCAAAAAATATTCTTTTTTTTTTTCAGACATTGATGTTATTTTGGGGTCACTATGACGAAATTCATAGAAATATATTTTGTTTTTCCGATATTTTATCATTATTATTTTTATTATTTTTCATTTACTATATTATTCTTATTTGATCAGTATACATTTCTATTGCGTGCATTATTACATCATCGCGTTGTATTCAAGCACACATTTTTTTTTTTTCGGCGAGTGAATTTCGTCGTACAATTAACCTAACTTTCGGCACGGCACGAGCGCCGATAATCTCGCCGATGGAAGACCGGAGCGGTTATTTGAAAAAATCGCCGTCATATTTTTTACACAAAGCGCCATTAATTTGACGATATTCTCCGTAATTTATTCCGCCCGATGTCATTTCTCCGACGTCCCTCCCCGCCGACAGCCCTCATTTCCGATTATATTTATAGATGTAGTACTTATATAGCACATACAGAGCGCGGTATACTTATTGCAATCAATAAAATGCTAATTTTTAACACTTTTGTAGCCCCGCACAAAATGGTCGCTCTTGACGCACGTATTTCTCGCGTATTTCACGTCACAATCGTTCTCGTCGTTTTCTGCGAACAATAAAGCTCGTTGACATTTCGCGAATCACTGGAGCCGGGCATAATTAATTTTCGGCCGGAGATTTTTGCGTGAAAGAGGCGTGACGACGTCATTACACTTAAGCACCTGGACCACCAAAATGTCGCCGTTTATATTTAGACGAACGAGTCGATTTGCATATCCGCGGCTCCAAATATGTCACTATTTGCAAAAAACAAAAACAAAAAAAAAAAAAAAATAATAATCAGTGAAATCTTATTAACTTTGTATTACAACAATCTATCTGATTTATCGCGAACGTTCGCAATCGTGTGACTGCGCGCACACAACCGATTCCGACGGGATCGTCGTCGCGTACACGCGTGTAAGAAGAGATAAATTTTCTCGCGAAAGGTCATCATTCGCGAAATCAAAACTCGAGATCGGCGTATGCAATTAATCGATGTAAAGCGACAAAATTTCCAACGTTTACATACATTTCGCGATCGCGTGATCATCACATATTGTTGTACTCACCCGCCGATTTCTCACCCTCTCCATAATATATCGCCGATCGCGCGAAATCTTCACAAAATCGTATGTACTTACCTCGCTTGCACTGTCGATCGGCGCGACACGACGCGAGTTTTCAAAATTCGAAATTTCGCGACAGCCGATGTTCGTCACGACCGGCACGTGATCGCCGACACACGCCGCGTAAGAGGAGACAAATTCTGAATGAAAAAAAAAAGCAAAGTGGTGGAGAAATGGAAACAAAATGCAATTTCATGACTCACCAGGATGTACAGGTATTTCCTTATCTTGGTCTGCAGGTAATGACGCCGACCGTCCTCTCCAAAAATGTGTATACCGCCGTCTACGGCGGCGATATCGGCCGCACAGATCCGGCAATGTGGCAGGGACCGATCTGCTTGCCGATTACGCTGCTGCTGCTGCTGTTGTTGCTGCTGCTGCCGCTGCTCGAGATCGCGTATCGTCGTATCCATTTCAAAAATCGTGGAGAATGTAAATAGATCGCACAGGAATTAGGCGGAAGATAGAGATAATAATAAAATAAAAAACGGTGCGATGCAATTTTTCGTTCTCGATTCACGGCTGGAAGACTTTTCTTTTCCGCGACGATAAACGATAGGCACGAGAGACGCTGTTTTCTCTTTCCCCCCCTCCCCCTCCCCTCCTGACTCACGACTGACGACGGCCGAATCGCCCGGCGACGATGCGGTATCTTCATGTATCTTCCGGATGACGGCGACGCTGCATCATCCTCGGTAACGAGGAACGGTTGCGACAGTGCGCGCGCGACCGGGCGAAGAAACGCGTGTCTTCCGGCGGCCGCGGACCGAGCGACCGACCGACCGAACGAGCGGCGCGGCTTGATTATTCTATAACGATTTTCCCTCTTTTTTTTTTTTTTTTTTTTTTTTTTTATTTCTCTCGTCCCGCCGTATATACTTTATGAGCGGAGGGCTGCGGATTGGGCGAGATTATAAGCCGCGCGGCACCGCGCGAGACGCGACGCGAGACGTCGTTTTCGCTCGTGTGCTCTTTATAAAAACAGACGCGCGCTCTCCGCGGCGCGAGATGGATAGAGAGTCCGTCGGGCGTCGGCGTGCGTCCCGTCCCGTTCGTCTCTCTCTCTTCCCTCCCGTTGAGAGTGCCGAGAGTGCTCAATACAAAATATATAATAGCATTCGTCGATTTGAAAAACATATGTATATAACCAATTGTTTTATTTATGGATTCCGCCGACGCTTCGCGTCGCGGCGCGGCGCACGGCGCTTTCGGCGCGCGCGCGCGTGTATGTGTGTATTTGTGCGTTCTACGGCGTCGCCGACGCGCGCGAACTCTGCCGCCGCGAGCATCCGCGAAAATCGCATATTACATCAATGTAACAACGACAACGACAACGACGACGACGACGACGACGAAGACGAAGACGACGATGACTACGACGACGCGACCATGCGGAGAGCGCAAGGAATCAAACGCGGAACTTTAATTGATCCGCCATCTTGGCCGGCGCGCCAATTTTTTTTTATCCTACTATTTTCGCGCGCGCGACTTATCACGTGTTTCTCGATCGTCTTCGCGTCAACGTTCGCGTTGTGGACACGTGCCCCGTTACCCGTACACGAATGCGCCGATACATCACGCATTAATTCGTTTGTTGCGAATTCCGCGTTTTCCCGCCATTCCTGCGTAGCCGGATGTTACTCCGCGACAGCGCGCGCGCGCGCGCGCGGATTTTTGCGCGACGCGGAAAATAGTCCGCGAATGTTTGACGAGCAGCCTCCCTCGTGGGGGAGGATACGGAGAGCCGGCGCTACGCTCCACGTCCCCATTTAAAAAAATCAATACTTAATAATTAGCAATTAATACGCGCACCGGGCGCACGTGTGTGCGTGTGTTTGCCGATTATCCTGCCCCTCCGTGTCGCTCGCAACCCACTCTCCCGGTCCGTGGCTCTTCATCACACCGTGATTGTTGAATAATGACGCGATCATTATTTCGTTAATTATTCGTATCGACGTTTATTATTATTATTCCCGTTTTTTGTTCCTGACGACAATAATGCGATCGTGTCGTTCTGAAAAAAAAAAAAAAAAAAAATGAAAATAACAAAAATTAATTTCAGACGTATTGTGGTTCGAGTTAATTGAAGAAAATTTAATGTGACGATGATGATGACGCATTCAAATGATTGAAATGATTTTAGCCGAGTGAAACAATACGTACATATATATATATATATTCTCGGTTATGTAACTGATTAAATTTTTAAACTAGCTTATAATGATTATTATAATTTGTAATAAATTATGATTAATTGTTAATGAAGCTACTTAAGCAAAATGTTCATATATTGATTGCGTAAATGTACAATTTCACAGAAAAATGAATGCTAAATTGAAATAGTTATTTACAATGTTACTCAATTATTGAAAAAATACATTGAAAAAATTGTGGAAAATTAATTTTATTTTGTTATTCAAAGATTGTTAATTATCATCTGAAATACGTCGTTTTGTTATGTGTGTGTTACAATTGCGGATGTAACGCTGCGAGAATATAAATGCATTATATCTGGTTTTTATCGAAGCACAAAAAACAAATGCAAAAATATGGGAATGACATAACCTATAACAAGTGTCGAAAAAGTAGAATAATTAAGACACATCATGGAAATAATTACTAAATCTATGTTTAGTTTCTTCGTATATATTTTTTATTTGTAGAAAAAAAGAAAGTTGAAATGTTCAGTAAAATTCTCTGTATTAAAATTTTTTATTTTGCCATATTCTTTCTTTTGAATGTTTCTAACACACGCACACACACATACATACGAGAAAATTACTTAAAATATAAATTACCCCAGTGAGAAACGAAAATGTCAAAAAATGAAGACTGTGGATATATATCACTCTTATACAGTATCGCAGATAAGCCATTAGATTTGTGGTCAAAATACGTTTCCTGTGGCGGTAAAATTCGCAGAATAAAAGATGATACTTTATACGGAGACAAAGTACTCGAGATCACAGGATCTCACAACAGCGCGATTGTTACAAATATAACTACTCCCGCTGAAACGTTAGATGTTATGAACATAAAACTTCCTATTCTTGTGTTAGTAATAAAAAATTTAAATTTACAATTCAAGTTGGAAGTTCAGGTATACATATAACGCTTTACAATATCTTATCAAAGAGCAAACACTATATATATATATGTTTTCTTTCATATAATTTTACTATAATTTTAATTTTTTTCAAAAATAATTTTTTTTTCTATTTGTAAAGATAATAGACAAAGAGCAATACCGGAGAAGATTCTCTTTTCTCACTTATAATTTGGAGAGGTCGAGAATCAACGCAAGAATGGCTTGTATTCCTTTGAAATTGGAAGAATGTTGGAATACCTTAGAAATAAACCTTCAAACTCTATGCCACGAAGCGTATAAAACAAATTACAAGGCTCTGCAGAGAATAATAATTTACGCCAACTGTTGTATAAGAAGAGTGTATTTGCAAGATCGTCACTACAATAATAACGAAACTCCCATCGAGATATATCAAGCATTTCTTCATATGTACATGTTAAAATGGGGAATTAATGCGATCGATGAAGCTTGTCAGACAGAAGGATGTTACACAGGTTTTACATCTTCTTGAAAAAATATAAGATCTATATGCAAAAACAATATACATATATCTTACATTTTATTTATTAGGATTTGCCGAACAACCTAAAGATTTAAGTTTGGCAAGTATTGATTCAATTGGTGTATTGCAAACAAAACTTGGCTCAAAACCCATATACAGTACAGGAAAACTGAAAAATTTAAGTACACTTAATAGTGTGATAAATTTATGCAAATCTAACACATTGAAAAGAAAGCATATGTCACTAGATACTCTGAATAATGCAATAAAAATGCGTGATAAGAATGTTTTTATTAGAAAAAATGAACACTTCAAAGAGTCTCTAGCGAATAACATAATTGTGGAAAATAAGTTACAAATGAGCAATGTGAAGAAAACAGAACAGAATCCAGTGAAAACACACAAGGCGGGAAACCAAAGTTTTTCGATAAACATGCAAAATAAAAATCATATTTTGCGACCTATGACTTTGATTGAATCAAAAAAAGTTATGAGAAATCAAGTTTTAAAAACACGTGTTAGTGAAACGTTATTCGAAGAAAATGGAAATTCAGAATATACAAATTTGCAGGAAATTCGGAATGCAAAAGATATATGTGTTAATTCAAAAGAACATAATAATAGCAATAATATACAAATAGAGAAGACTGCCAGTGTTAAAAATGCAGAATTTCAAAAATCTCTTCCCAGTTTTTTGTCTGCTTTTAAATTCGCGCGAGATTCACTTGAAAAGATTGATAAAAAAAGCGATAACACATTTAACACTCAAAATGATAAATTATGCATTATTTCTGAGGATAAACATGTAAAAGAAAACAACAAGAACATTGCTGACAGCTTAAGATCTCTGACTGATAGAAGTGCTGAATATGTATCTGATCATATTCCACCAGTAATCGAAAAAGAAGCTGCTACACTAGAAGAAATAAATCCGCGAAACAGATACTTAGGCATAGACATGGCCACGTCAAATTTTATAACTGCGTATCATTTTACAAATAGAAAATTTCTTAAGAAATTAAAAGACAAGGGCCTTGCTATGACGCAAGTCGAATTATCGCTGTGCGATATGACTAATCGACGAAAATTTTATAATCAACAAAAATTTATAAACAAACAAAGATGGTGCATAGACAAATGTACCGGTTTGTAAGAAAATTCAGTTGTTAGTTGTTAGTTTCTGTAAACAAATAAATAATTTCAAAGAGAAAATGTGAAGATTAGAAGTTTTCGTCTCTATTCAGTCATCTACACTTAAGCCTACACATATAAATCATCATGAGTGTCTTTTCCTTTTTAAGAAATATTTAATACTAGTTGCTTGTTGACGAACTTAGATCTCTTAGGCACACACAGTGACAAAAGTTTATATACGCAAATTAAAGTTAAAAAAAAAAAAAAAAATTTTGTGCTGTAAAGATTTGATATTTTTCATATTTCAAAAAAACTCTAGAAACTTATTTTTAGAATAAACATTTAAAAATTGATTTGTTTTGAAGTTATAAATTAGAATATTTTCTTAAATAATCAATTAGCTTAATCAAATCTGGTACAACTGGCCCAATGAGATTAGTGAAACTTGAAAATATTATTGTCAATAAAGCATATTACTATATACGATAAAAGTGTACACATTGTTTTCTTTATGTGGTAATAGTTTAAGGGTTTATATAACAAATATTAAATATATATAAAAATATTAATTATGATCTTGAAGTGTAGGATATAAAATAATGTATACATACAAAAATATAATACTTACAAAAGTATAATAAAATCACAAAATATTACAAGAGCTTTTTCTGTTATATAAGATTCCAAAAGTTTTTGATAGGGATTGCTTTACATATGTACAATCCCGTCATTAATGTAATGCCTACTAAAGTCAAATTAGAAAGAAAGAATTTGCTTTCTTTTGGTCCGATAAAAGTTGCTGGCGCACCAATATCATTTTCTTTATCGATCTACAAATGTCAAATCACAATGTCAGCATTATATAATAGTAAAACAATATATAGATCTTTTATTAGCTTTATACTGTACCTTATGCGCCAATTTCTGAAAGTGCATTATTTCAATCTTTAGATTTTTCAAAGTTTTTTGTATCTTTTTTAACTTGTCTTCATATCTCGTTCTTTCCACGGAAGAAAGACAAATTGTTTCTTTTTCAGCTTGCACCAAATTATTTTTAATATATTGGAAAGTAGACGCTGTCACGCCTAACTGTTTCTTTATAATTGCCAGAGATAGTATACTATCATAAATACTGTAATTTAAAAAAAAAAATATATATATATATACAATATAATTGTACTCTTTTAATTCTTTCTACAAAAAAACTAATATTAAATATTAAAAACAAAAATTTAAACCTACGTATACGGATCAGATTTCTTAACAATGCCAAGGCTATTCGTATGCCATTTTTTACTGTGAAATTCTTCAAGACTTTCTAAAAATTGGCTTTTATGAACAGATATATCGATACCTAAACGGCAAATATCATCTTCTGTCAATTGCAAAAAAATTTTAAGATCCATTCCTTTAAATAAGTTGCTGTATCTTTCCAAACCCATTCCATATAAGATTGTTGATACATCACAATCTAAAATCTTTTTAGGAAACATATCTGGGAATAAGTCCCTCCAAGTTGTTACTTGAGAAATTTCACAAAACATTGGTACTTCTTCTTCGTTATTGTTCTCTAGTAGATGATATATCTAAAAAAAAAAAAAAACTAATTGTTAGCGATACAAAATTAGTAGTAAGAGCACATTTATTGTTTACCTGTGTAAAATTTTTTATATCTGCAATATCTTTAGCGGTCAAATAATTTCTGTCTGTTATTAAAGTATCCACATTGTGTTCCAAAAGAATCTTGACAATTTCGATTCTATTAGCTGTGACAGCATACATCAATGCCTGTAATTCAATCAACAATTTATAAAAGAAAATCACAGTTAATAGATAAATAATATCAAATCTTACAGTTTTTCCATCACAATCAGCTGCATTGATATCTGTTACGTATTGCAAAAGTTCATTGACAAATGGTGCGCTTTGTGATTTACAGGCATACATTAAAGCAGTTTCCCTGTTAAAGAATTAATTGATACTTATCACTTTACACAGTCTAATTATATAAACATAATAATGATAATTTCAAAAGTAAGACTTTTAAGTGCTTGTTGTTCTATTTTGAATTATGATAATAGAAGTGAAAAATCTTTGTATATCTTGTAAATCTTGTATTTCTATCATAAATATTTATTGATTCAATGCAAATTGCATGACAAAATGAATTTATACGATTGTTGATATCAAAATTCAATTTGGCACTTCTACAAAGAAATTAAAATAAATATTAGTTTCTTATAAATTTCTACCCATATATTTTGAATTTACCTCTGTTTGCTTACAGCTTGAACTATATTGTTAACATCGTGTCTATTTACTAATAGTTTAAGGCATTCTAGGGAGTCCTCAGATTTTTGTTTTATGGAACTGCATAATGCCAGGAAGGGTGTAAATCCATCTGTATAATTACAAGACAAGTTGTAAAAACATTAATAATAAAATAAATATTATCAATTCTTTACCTTTGTGTTTATTAGGATCTGCACCATGTTCTAACAAGAAATGCATTAATTTTGGTTGTGCATATGAAGCAGCATATAATAATAAGGTCCATCCAGTAGATAGAAACTTATCAACATCTTGATCTATATACAAAAAGAATAAAAAATAAAAATAAACAGTTCAATATCACAAATAATACAGAATTTTATAGATTATAAATATTTCAAAAACTACTCTTCAAAATATGATACACATTAACACAAGTATAAAATTAGCTGAGAATATAAAGAAATGATGTTCTAAGATTATTAAAAAAAACAATAATACTTACAACTATCAAGATATTTTTGCACTACTTCGATATCTCCGGTCATACAAGCATTAATAACATCACTTTCTAAGATATCTTCTTCTTCTTGAAGATCATATACATCACAATATTCAGTTGTCTTCTCATTTGTTACATCTTTCTTTGAAAAATTATCATATACTTTACTATCCTAACACACAAAAGCAACATGTAATTATATAAAGGAAAACAATATAATGTAAAATAGAAATGTTATGTACATAAAAATCAAGTAATCATATACCCTATATGAAAAATCGAAATCATCTTCGTCATCTTCATCGTCAGACATCCCAGCAGGTCTCAAATTTATATATTTACTTGACATGATAAAAACAAAAATATATCATATATCTCTTTCTGGAATATTTAACATGTACTAATTAGTCGACTTTTCAAATACACATTTCATATGTATATTTACAATGTTTACATATGTGTTCGGTTAATTCTCTACTGTTGTTTTGTGTGCTGTTCTGGCTTAAGCTGCGTTCTGATATTCTTTACCAGTACTAAATTCTATATTTCACGTCACATACGCTATAGATTTTTAGTACTGGCAGTGAATTCGGAACGCAACCATGCAAGGAACGTTCTATCTGACCAATCAGCGAAATTAGATCTAAAATCTGTGCAAAAGTCTTTTATGCGCTTGCGTCAGCACGTTGATATAACCGTGGTTAGATTCGAACGGAGTTAGTAAATAATTGGAAGAGAATTATAATTGAGCGCTGACTAAAAGAAAAAATTGAAAATGTTTAATAATAAAAAAAAAAAAACAAATATGTAATATAATAAATTTCTATGATGTTACTGATTTTTTTGAACAATGTGAGTGACCAATCCACGATAATGATTGTTACGCCTATGTCACACTACGGATTGGGATTGAGATTGGATTGAAATTTGACCAATCAGAAGAAAGAAAACCAATCCTAAGTTTACTGATCTTCGCTCTTATTGATCAAATTGCAATCCAATTTCAATCCAAATCCGTAGTGTGACATAGGCTTTACTAAACGCAGTCGTTATAGACGACCTATCAAACTCAACGACGCGCAGCGCTAGAGTTTTACGCCCGTTTTCATCATCTCCGATTAAGTATCAGTCGTGATTGGTCCGTTCTTCTAAAAGATTAATGCGACTGGCAATTCCAATGGAATAATCGGCCGATTAATTTAATCGGAGATGATGAAAACGGGCGTTAAAGTTTAGACAATTCGAACTTGTTACTGATTGGTTAAATTTCTATTTGGACTAAAAATGGCGGAAGAGAGAATTGACCAATCAGGAAACATTATAAGAAACTAACTGTTATTGGGTGCGCGTTCGCTTTGAGCGCTTACGCGCTTTAAGCGTCTCAGTCTATCTTTGTTCTATATTTAAACAACAATAAAGACAGACTGACGCTTAAAGCGTCTAAAGCGAACGCACCCATTGTAAGAACGGAAAAGAAATATAAAAACAATTAAGTTTTAATAAATTAAGATCTATGTTTTTAAATATTATCTATAAATTTACATATAGGTTGTTTGACAATTCTGAATACATCCAACATATAACTTATTTAGATAAATAAAAAATAAATATTGACTGTCATCAAATAACATACATCAAAACATAACAATTTAAAGAAAATGAGATTTAAAATTAGAAACAAAGTATCTCGCTAAAATTTATATAATTAAAATATTATTTATTTTTATAAAAGAATTTCAGTAGGTGTTTTAATTTGCGCTCTCTCTCTCTCTCTCTCTCATTTTCAATCTTTTTCTTTATACGTAAATACATATATACATATGTATATTAAACTAAAAACTTTAAAACATGTTATATTAATATTTATACATTCCGTATGCAAAAGTGAAGACAACTCTTTTACCTTATACAAAACTTAAAAAGTATGATGTTAAATGCAACAAGACTTTGTTAAGCACATGATAAACTACTAGAACTCTGTAGTTACTGATATCGTGATATCGTTTCGAAATATTTTTATATATGGTTGTATATTACATTACACACGCTCTTATATATTATGCAAGATAATTTCTGACCGACCCCTAGTCGATCGAACGTTAGTCGCACGCAATACTTCTCTTCGTTAACGTGTGCTCCGTGTGATTACTTCGCGTAGATATTTTGTGCGAATTCAATAAATCACATTTAGAGTCTCGATACACCAGTTCGTGTCTTACCGATTTCTAGTCTGCTTCTCTTCAAGAATCAACAAAGAGTTATTTGACAAATAATTATCAAAAACTTATTTTGCACTTAAACGTGTTATCTTTATATTTATTTTTTTACTGTAGAAGACATATCTCAATCATGGCTTGTCCAGTATCAAGCGGTATTGCGTAAGTAAATTTTTTTTCTATCTCAAATGATAATAAAGTAATGACATTTGGTTTTATCAAAGGTTAATAGGTATAAACTTATTTTTTAAAGATTAAGATTAACGAGTGGATTTAATGTCAAACAAATAAATTCGCGCCACTCTCAATTTTGTTAAATTTTTTCACTCTGTTATTCTGCACTCGAGAGCGCACGCGCTTTTTGCATCGTATATATAATATTAAAATATATTAGTTATTATCGTGAAAAATAACAGATTTGCTTATTATTCAGCATGTCTTCTTCTTGCATCAGAGTCTCAACATCGAAGTCAGCAGTTTTACATAAAAAAACACGCAAATAAAAAAAATATTTCGCGCGAAATCAAAACAAATTGCACAAGAGATAACGCGTAATCGTCATTCGATTCGTCGTGTCTTAATCGCATATTATCGCTCTCGTTTGCATTTAAAGCGTATAGAAACTTACGTGTGCAATTACAACAGTGATAACAATATGAACAATATTTATTGAAGAGAAAATCAAGATTTGGGCGAAGACATAAGGATAACGCAAGGACCAGCATTACTTTACGGCGAATATCTGTGCTTAGACAAAATTTTGTCCGCGCAAAGGTTGCTCAGCGCCGAGTATAGTGACGAAGTTCACGATGAGCATCTTTTCATCGTCACCCATCAAGGTGTTAATGATTGAGAGTCCTTTCTCATATGTAGCTCGATTAAAAATAAGCAGTAATTAAATTTACTTCTACGCTGACAGAAAATATTGTAAAATTTATACAATAACTCTATAAAATTACGCATTATTATCCGTTTATTTATTTTATATATAACATTAATTTTTTTTTTTTAATCCAAACAAAGAGCCTAATCAATTACTTACTTGATACGTATTTTGATTTTCATAGCCTACGAGCTCTGGTTCAAACAAATTATTTTCGAGCTCGACTCCGTCAGGACGGTTTTCACCTCCGAATCCACCATATGCAACGCGTCCAACGGATCTTCCAATGAGCACTCGGCCATCAACGAGAAAAATAAATCTTCTTACATCCTGAACGAGTCAAAAACTCTGGAGATCCTGAAGCGATTGAATCGCATTGTACTTATCTTGAAAGTATGTTTTAAAAACGATTTTATATATAGCCAATAGAAATAAATATTACACGATCTGTAACGTGTAATAGAGATTACTTACAAGTAGATGCTAAGCAGCCCAAGTGTTTTATAGACAAATCCGCTTATTTTAGTATAATGGTAATGAAAAGTGAACGGCTCTCAATCGCAAGCCGATTAGCTTGCAGCCGAACAGCTTCTGTAAGTTTCTATATATAGCTTTTAATTACATTTTTCTATCCCGCTAGATAAAGCTGTTTATTTTTGTGACACATTTTCTTACAGTAGTTTACACGTTGCAAATAATCCAGATAAAAAAAAATATAAATATAAAAAATACACAAAATCGATAAATTTTGTTTTAGTTTGTATTTTATTTTGGCGTCTTACACATTATGTTTTCCATATGCAAAGTTTTTTACTTTTTCGCGATAAATTTCAATGCGATGTGTTGCAATAATAATGTTCGTCACACAACACGCGATATGTATTTTCAGCATTTTCAATTGAACACGATGCAGGTATACCGTGAGAACCACAGAAATGATATTGGAGGTTGAGTGAAATAATATCCCTAGACGTTATGCGACACCGTGTGCTTTGCTTGTAGTAATCACGTTAGGCAACTACTCTGTTTCAATACCGCAGAATGGATGTGCGGTCGCACCTTTCCCTTATGTGATTCGATGAAACATCTTTCCGCGGCATTGCACCACTGATACGTTTCACAAGACGTAATATCGGATATCTTGAGGCCGAGATTTAAACGAGATTGAAAACGAGAAGTCTCTTTATGTTCGAACAATTGATTTTCAAAACAAACAACATTGTCCTCATATTTAAGAGTTGAAATATATGATTTATTTGACTTGTTTTTATACGTACCCTGTATAATGCACTATATACGCCCTTTGTACCGTTCGCGTATACCCTCTTTTTATTCCGGCATCCATAGAAATGCAGTCGCGTTGAAAAATCGATTACGGCGTTTTAAACATGGTTTTTAGAACTTGCAAAATCGAAGGAAAAAAAAGAAAAAGTAATATTATATAGTCATAACAATATACAAAGCGTCTTTCCCGTTGATTTGTTCTCGTAGAAAATAAAATTTTATTTATATACCGCGACAAAATGCTCTGTCAACAAAATTAATTTAATTTAAATCAAATTATTGCTTCAAATACTTGGTTCTCAATTCAAGTCTGTGAGAGTTAAAATAAAACACGTTTCTTTAAATCAACATAAATATTTGCTCGATAATCTTTGATCGTCGTATGTTGGGATTAAATAATATTTTCTTGACTCACCAGGGTTTTTCTCAATATATAGTAAATTATTATCCGATCTTCTTACATTACTTAATTTTTCGCAAATCTCAGCAAAGTAACACACCATACATGTATAAATTATTAATAATTTACAGCTGTTGGTAGATCAAGTAACAATTCTCGAAACGATGACGCCGTTGGACTTTATAGAATTTCGAGACTATCTGTGTCCAGCTTCGGGCTTCCAGTCGCTACAATTTCGTCTATTGGAGAACAAACTGGGCGTGAAGCAAGAGAACAGAGTCAAATATAATCAGAATTATATAAAGGTTTTTGGTAGAGATCCGAAAGCTATCGAGGCAATCAAGAGATCGGAGGAGGAATGCAGTCTCAGTACTCTGGTTCAAAGATGGTTAGCCAGAACGCCAGGTCTCGAGACAAATGACGATTTCAATTTTTGGGGAAAATACAAGCGATCGGTGGAACAAATACTGGCCGAGCAGGAAAAAGCCGCACACGTAATCAATGTCTAGATCAATTTTGCAAATCGTGTAACAATTAAATCATGTAAAATTAAACTGATCAAATATGAGAGATATCAACATCCACATTTTCTCGACAGTTTTGAAGACTGAATCTTTTATTGTGTTTTTTTTTTTTTTTATCAAGTTTTCTTACAAAGCATTAACTGTTTTTGAGCTAAATTATAATTATTTGAAAGAACTGTATTGTGTATTTGAAAACTTCATCAAAATTTTGTTTTTTAGAAACAACCGAGACAACAAGTCAGAGAGTACTTACTGAATAATGTGCGATCGCGGCGGGCAGTTTTCGAAACCATCTTCACCGAATCTCTTCACAACGCTCTTGTTTCGCGGGGCGAACGAAGATTCTCGCATGAGGCTCTTCAAGGAGCGATAATGATCACTTTGTATCGGGATGAGCCGCGATTTAGTCAGCCGCATCAGATTCTTACGGCGTTAATGGATATCGACTCTCTAATTACGAAATGGAGGTGTAAGAAAAATACTTTCTCGCGTGTGAAGCACTTGTTAATATAATAACATGTAGGATATATCTCAGGATGTTATTACATATTTAAAGACATTTTTTTTGTGAATATATTGTAGGAAAAGTATTAATTAATATCTCTTACGATCTATGTGATTTTGTCCATTTTTTGAATTTTGACTTATAACTTTACAAATACATTTTCAAGACTTCAAACCTTTGAAATATATATAAAAAATTTGTGTACTCGACAAGAAAAAAAACACTTAATTTAAGCAAATCTTTCATACAATTTGTATCTTTATATTAAATATCCTTTTTTACAATTTTTATCTCTGTTAATTAAAATATGTTTAAGACCTCATTATTTTAATTAGTAAGAATTAATTTTCACCAATGTATCTGACGATTCTTTCAGTTTTCGTTGCTTGTAGAGAAAAATGTTTGTTTTTTTTCTTTAATTTCAGATAACCATGTTATCATGGTACAAAGGATGATCGGATCTCAGCAACTAGGTACCGGTGGCTCTTCTGGCTATCAATATTTAAAGTCCACGTTAAGGTAGTTTTCTTTTTCTTTTACTACTCTCTGTATGTGTATTTTTATGTAACACATTTTTTAATTAACTAGCACAACACAGGCGCGCGGTACGCGCACGCTATTGTTATTTTTATTTAACGTGTTGTCAGTAAACACAACCTGTCACCGCGATGACAGATAGTATATACGTTTTATAAACCATATAATACACATATGAGAAATGTCAGAAATAACGCATGAAAATCAAACTCAAAAAATAGTGAGAGAGAAGTGGAAAAACAACACGTGACTAAAGTCACGTGACAAGGAAAAGGGTAAACAAGAGAATATTATATATATGTAATATTCTATATCTATATATAATACACACACATACGCATATATGTGTGTGTGTATATATATATATATATATATATATATATATATATACCGTAATCACGTGACCGAAGTCAGTGACTCCGCCAAGGTCGCGCGGCCGAGGTCAGTGACCTTACGGTAGTATGTATATAATATACAGGGTGTCCCAGAATTGGTTTAACATCTCTCGTAGGCAGGTAGAAGGAATAAAACTTAGGTGAAAAGTCTTATACCATTTTGCTAGATTCGCAATAGTTACTGAGATTTTAATTAACAAAGATCCGCGAATAAGCATGCATCGGGC